CCCTCCAAATCCCCTCCACATCCCCTCCGCACCCTCACAGCCATAACCCTCCACACTCCCGCTCCAGCATCCTCCATCCCGCACATTCGGCGACATATGCCGCAACCAATGCCTGCGCACCACATGCGGCAGATACGCGAGTACGTCCGGCTGCGTCAGATACCGGCGGTGCCAGGGGTAGCTGCGCCGATCGGCCCTGGCCCACGAGTAGCGGTAGACGACGCTTTCGGTGTCGGAGAGGGCGCCTGGGTAGCGGTTCCAGAACCCGGTGCCGCCGATGGACCCTTCCCCTTCCCCTTCCAGGGGCTTCTTCGATTAGGTGGGCTGTGGGGGGTTGGTGGTGGTGGTGCTGCTGCGCTTGTTGGGATGGTTGGTGAGGAGGGAGTGGAGTTGGTAGGTGCCGCTGAAGCCGGCGCCCATGATGAGGGTGTCGTGGTAGTTGTTGGGGGGGGGGTGCATATTGGTTTCTTTGTCTGTTTTTATTCCCTCCCCTTTTTAATAAATTTGTTCTTTGGTCGTTCTTTTGATAAAGCTAATAGGGGGGGGCGAGAGGGACCGCCTTTCGCAGTAATGACCTTCCTTATACAATTTAGCTCCTTATAAGCATGGCGTTCTGGGGCGTATTTAGTGCAACAATTAGCGTAACTTTAGCGTGTACATTAGTGTATTAAATACACGAAAACTCCTGGATAATATGAGAGCTCAGCTGGATTGATGTGTTTTAATATAATTTTTTTGTAATCTATTTGATCTAGGTAGCTTTAATTAATATCATTAGAATACGGAGAATTCTCTCAAAAGTTTTGATTAGTGCTAAGAATTTAAGCTGTACTTGCGGCCTCACTCACTATCCTTGCTAAATCGTTCGCTTTTCGTAATTTCCAGGATGTCGACCAACGAACATTTAGACGGGCCATCTGAGGAACGAAAGGGCTTAGTCGGTGAACTAGCTAAGGCGCTGAATAATGAGCCAGTTTTACCCGCATTCTGGGCCTGTGCCCATGTCTGCGATCTCGAGAGGTTGAGATGGCTCGTTGCGAATGCACAAAAAGCCCCATATTTTGTCGCCGCATTTGCCGACCAATGCTTCAGACTCGCTCTCGCATGGCGCCAGAGCCCCGCAGATGACCAAAAATCGCAAGTATCGGACTCGGGATCTAGTGATGGAGGGCGTCCAAGGAAGAGACTGGAACGTGCAGGAGGACCAAGAGCACTTGCTGAAGAGCGCGACAGAGAAAGATGTGTGTTTACGAAAGCAGCCCCCTACCAAGTGGCACATATCTATCCCAACTGCCTTATCGAGTCTTCAAATACACGTCGAATTTCCCACTTCTGGAACGTGCTCCAGGCCTTCTGGACCCAAGACAAGATCAACTCCTGGCGGTCGTTGATATTCCGTGATCCCGAAAACCCGCTGAAACCATTTGACGCCTGCTTTAACTTGATATGTATGAACAATACTATGCATACCTTGTGGGGAGATGGCCATTTCGCGATTCGTCCGCTAAACTACAACGACGATAAAACCAAGCTGGAGGCTGAGATCCATTGGCTGCCGAGATACAACCATGGACCGCTAGATTCCATTCCTCTTGATACTCCAACCCTGTCGAGCAGAGGTTTACAGAATTCTTCTTATAGGGATGGCGTTCAGACTGTCCCTATCCATATCGATGGCCAGTCCATAACTTCGGGTCACAAAGTCGTCTTCGAAACTACTGATCCTAAACGACTGCCGCTCCCTAGTCGAGAACTACTAGAAATGCAGTGGGCATTGAACCGTGTGTTATCTATGTCGGCGGCTGTTGAGTACCAAGGCTACGATGACGACATGCTAGTTGGAGAGGCAGCTCCCAGTGTGACGGATTGGCTTGGTTCCAACGACTTTCAGCAAGGACCCGTAGAGCCTCACTCTGAAAGCTCCTCAGACGAGCAAGAAAATTCGTTTCTTACGTCCCTCGATCCCTCTCCCATCAAAACGACCACCGCGGTGGATACTAGTGAGCAGTCTGAGGTTGAAGCGGGTGGTGCTACGGCGGGACTTTAAATTGGGTGTAGAACATAGGAGGCGGTGGTATTTGTTCTTCTCTTCTTTCTGTCTCTCACTGGTATGTGTCACAGTCTACTGCTGTGTTGTGCTCTTCTATCATTTTAATCTCTTTAAGTTGCTTTACTTTTTTACTCCTCCTCTGTTTCGCTGCTGGCTCTAATAATCTGGCCAGCGTCAATTCATCGCGCATACATCCTCATTTTGTCCAAGGTGAGCATCAGTTTGTACTTCTACATTATCCCTGCCAGACCTGGTACAGCTCCAATCATCTCTATGACTCTTGCTTGCGTGAAGAAATGAAATCTTATATGCTGGTTGTTATAGGGCTGATATTCTTCTGGTATTTTAGTTTCTCTATCATGCTATTCTCTGCCTGTTCTTCCACCATGCATAGATCATCTTTAAACTCTTTAGAAAATGCAGCTTCTTGCTGATGCCAGTGAAAGTGAGACATTCTATAATACACACTCTGGAGCAAGAACCCAGCAGTCTTTTATTATCTCCTGTAAGTTGAAAAACCGAACACTGTCTCTTCACCTCAGCAGAGTTATTCCATCCAATCTCTAGAGCTGGGTGATCTGAACGCGTTAGCCTTCAGCTGAAAATGGATCCAGCAGTCTCAAGAGCCGTCCCCTGTCAAGAGAGAGAGCCAGTCCCGCTTCAAGGTGGAACCCAGCACATGAAGATCAATGCCACGGCTTAGCAACGTAGATCTGTGAAGTCATATCAAGTAGAAGGTGCAGGTGACTAATAGAAGTCTTCTCCGGGGGAGAGCTGCAAGAGAACATGCAAGTAGAGTAGAATCATGGAATAGATAAAACAGGCGTAGAAAAATAAAGGTGGGGTGATCCTGTGACTATTTCTAAGTTTTTTCAGAGCAGTTTGACTATATGAAAATATTTACATATTCTTTGAATTAGTTTTTCTATCAGATGTTATCTCAATTAATTTAAAAGCTTTTATTATTGTAAATAGTTTACAGAGTAGTGTTAAAAACTTTGTCGGATTGCCTTCCACTCTAATCATTGCTATATTCTTTCACTACATGCTATCATTGCATACACAAGCTATTATTCAGCTTCAAATCGCCTCATTCAGTGATTCTGTGATGACTTCACTCTGATTATTTGACTCTGTTGACTTTTCATTTGACTGCTGACTCTGCAGGCTTTTCACAGCAAGCACTTTGCTTGATTATCTCTGTTGATCTTTTATTTGACTGCTGAACTTGTGTGTAGCCCAAGGGCTGCTAACTCTATTGGTTATGTGAGAGATAGGAATAGGGGTAAAGGATCCGCGAGGAGCGGGATTTCTTACATTTTTGAAAAATGATCATCTTTCACTGTTTATTCTGAGAAATTACTCCCATTTCACTATTCTTGAATTAAATCTGGTCATTTTTCACACCATTTCTGAAAAAAAATGATCCATTTTCAGAATTTTTTGATGCTCAGTCCTGGTGGGACTCACACCAAGAAATGTATGGGAGTCCCACCGGCCAGTCTAGTCAAGCCTACTCTACTCATACAGCTTCTCACTAGATACTACCTACGTGACGCTGCTGTTTAGCTACTGCTTCGGTTCCGCCACGTTACACCTAGTGACTCCACTAATTATTTTATCTTATATATAAGAAGCCTTTGAATCACATATATTACAATAGAAGACTTCTTTTCATACTTGAAGAATTAGATGAAAACGGCAAACAGATACTAAGCATATCAAATGAGCTAAGTCAATGTCTGCTCACATTGTATACAACAGACTGACTCTGCAGATAAAGAACTCGACAGACATTCATTTGGTTTGAAGTACAGAGTAGAGAGATCCGAATCAGCAAAGAAAATTAGTACTGTTGAGTTGGTGTTATTGTTGATGTGGTTGGCTGTCTTCTTCGCGTTTTTTTTTTTTTTTTTTTTTTTTTTTTTTTTTTTGCAATTTATTACTCTCGCAAATTGATGCCTTCCTAACCCCTTCTCTCCTTATTTTCCTTCTCTTTCTTCTCCGTCCGGCGCTTTGGTATCGTTTCATCCGCCTCTTCCCAAATATATCCCCTCACCTTCGCCGTATGGATACATAACTTCTGTCTATTTCTACCTTTCACTTCCCTGCCGCCCCTTATCCTTCGCCCGCTTCATTTGTTGCTGCTGCTGCTCGTCGAATATGATTAGAAAGGGAAAAAGAGAAGAGAACAAGGCATTTAAGCAATATACGCCAAATCGTCCCCATCCAGCCGCTCAATATACTCCTTCTCCATCAGCGCTTCGATATTCTTTTTGATATCCGGTACCTTGGGCGGGAAGCGGGCTTTCACTTGTTGGATCACCTCCTGCACGAGTTGGACGTGTTTCATCTTTTTACGGGATTTCATGATACGGACAATGGCCGACTAATATACAGTTAGCACCTAATTTTATATGTAGATAGATGAAAGTCCGGGGAAAAAAGAGAAAAGAAACGTACCTGGAGGAGAAGTTTCCTATCCTCATCAATAGTCTTATGCGTGTCATCCGTCTCATGCTTTTGTTCCGACTTGACGGAGATGTTAAGGTTGACTTTAATCTTCTTTGCTTTGAAATTGTAGTTTAGAGAATAGGAGGTTCCAGGACATGGTTTGCCGTTCTCGGGTGAAGGGATCACAACTTTAGCTTTGACGAGGATACCAAGGTTAGGTTCGAGAGCCTCCGGCGCGAGTGCTGTCCCCTTTTCGATATCGGAGAAGCTCAGCGTGTCGCTTTCGTTAAACAGGAGGAGGATTCCCATCTGGTAGGTCGATACCTGGAATGTATATGGTACTTTTGTGTTTTTGATGTAGTTCGCACGGATCTCGCCCTTGCATAGATTCCATAGCCATGTAAGTTTGCGACCGTTGTGTTTGTCAAAGTAGAAGTTCTTAAATCGCTCTGTTGTCTTGACGATTTCCTGGGGGGGGATGAATTGGGTTGTCGGAGCGGTAAGGGGCCAGAATCCCGTTCCGAGGATCTGGAAATGGGGGTCCACTAGCTTCTTCCTGTCCTCGTCATCCAGGACCTTCTCTTGCCAATCCCGGTAGCTGGCGTTGAGATCCTTCGAGATTTGGATGTCCTGGAACATTCGCTGGAGTTTATTCGTATATTCGAAGCCACAGGCCTCTTTCAGTTTGCTAATCATGCTGGTTTCCGCATCATCAGAAACGGAGCTGACATGCACGAGGCGTTTGGCCAGCATTCTAGAATAGAACTTCTGGAAAACGTCCTTGTCTTCAATATACTTGAAGACAGTCATGATCTGAACAAGCATCTCTTCCAATTCCGACTCTTCTGGAGATTTAACTCCCTTCTTCAGAAGGGAATCAGTGTACCGAGCAAGCAGTTCAGGAGACTTCGTCGAACTTGTGCTGCAAATTGTATTACGGTTGACAAATTCTCGACAAGCATTATCCAGCGAGCGGACAAACTCCGACTCTCCCGCAAAGGCAATGTTTACCATAGATTGGTACTTGGTATGAACCTGTAACAGGGCATCAATGTAGACCTTGGGCTCGACCGCATCTCCATTAGGCGCCACTTTTTCGACAGCCGCAAGCCCAGCTTTCCGAACGTGGGTCTCAAATTTGTTACGTAACGGGTCTAAACCGTCCTTAATTCGAGAAAGCAATCGATACATACGGGCAAGATCATCTTGACGTTCGGTATCTAGAAGAGCTTGGAATTCATCCCGCAGTAGCGGGGAATGAGCAGTCACCAGGACATCCAAGCATGTTTCCGTTAAATTTTTGGTGATGTCGGGGTGAAGGTAGAGGTCAACCCGGGCCCGTTCTTCTTCGAGGCGAGCTTCCGCCTTTTTCATGTACTCCACCACGCTGTTTTCAGCTACAAACCGCTTTGACTCGTTTTCATAGTAGACTCTGGTAGCCTCTATGAAAGGCTTCTCGAAGTAGAACTGGTATACCACCAGCGTGGACTTTGTACTATCATTCTCATCGAGACCGAGGGAGACGAATGAGTCGACGATACTTTTAATTTGGGACTGTTCAATGGTTTCGCCATTCCGTTGCTTCTCCACGAGCTTCAGTACGGCATCCATGACGCTCTTTTGCACCTTCTTGAAGAAATCTTCCTTCCATTTTACCAGATGGAGGGTGTAGACGTCGTAAATATCTTTCTTCCCCTCATCAACTTCTCGTTTTACCCAATGACGGTTAAGGTATTTGAAAAGATGATTGATATATTGTGCTGCTGTGGTGTAACGAGTCCACTCGCGGATGTAAAATGCCAACAGAGATTCATCAGAATGGCTTAGGGAGGATTCGTAAACGTCATTGAGATGACGGGAGAGATATATGCCGAGGAGATTATATAGTTCCTCTCCAAGAAGGTGGGCTACACATTATACAGGTTAGAAATACTCATTTAAATTCGCGGTACAAACCAAATCACAACTCACCTCCACGATGGCCACCATGTGACGCTGGACTGCTAGGGGTTGAAATGGCTTTTTGGGAGGTGCAGAAGTTGTGAACGGCCCTATTGACGTCGTTAGTCTGCTAGGATAGTCTTGATTATTGAAAACAGGCACGAGTGTTACTGACGTGTAAACGCCCATATACTAAAGAGAAATAGCATATCTAGTTAGCATTTACTTCTTGAACTAATCCCAGGAAGGGTTAATAAACACTAACCGTAAGCATGTCAATCCCACCCTCCAACTGGGTCATAACCCGCTCGACACCCTTTTCCAGATACGCCCATCTGCCCTCAGGTTAGCTCTGATGTTCCTGAATCCTTGCTTGAAATAGCCCGTGTGTAAATTCATAAACGGTGGCGCAAAAAAAACTCACGTTTCGTCAATATCATCCTTGTGGGGAGTCTGAATTCCTGAAGGAGGCATGGCTGCACTCTTGGGATGTGGTGATACTGGACTGCGAGAACGACGGCCTGGGAGTTTGAGGTGGGTTAACCTCATCGACGGAGGGGGGGGTTAGGGGGTTTCGCAGCGTCACGGTCACAAAGGCCAACCTGTTCGTAAGAGGAGAGGGAAGGTAGATAGGTGTCCAAGCCCAGTGGGTGAAGGGCGGAGGGGTAAGAGACGAGCCGGTCAAGGGAGGTATTTTGGATGTGCTATCACCAGTAGTTTGAAACGAGCGCTTGAGCTTCTTGCAAACCAAAAAAAAAAAAAAAAAAAAGAATAATAAAATAAAACGAGCTACCGATTGAAGGAAAGGCTCCCAAATCAAAGATCAAAAACGGGCTATGAAGCTGACAGGACAAAGAGAGAAAAGCAGAGTAGGGATGTGTCGAAGGTGCAGAAACGAGGAGAAAGGCCGTGTTTTGCCAGGCAGAACTGGCGGCGAGTTGGAAGCAGCCCGGGGAAGGGTGCTGAGGTAAGCAGGCGGAAGTTGGACAACTACGCCTGGTCAAGACTAGCGGTCATCTTTGGTCTCTTATCGATAAGGGATAAGGGACGGGATTATTGGCCGCCTTGGGATGACGTTTAATTTAATGACAGACGACGGGAAGCAAGAATTCCCTTAAATGCTATATCATGAGTAAAGTAAAAGGCAGCACCCTGCTCGATACAGGTGTTGACGAGAATACAATGCACAAATTGATATCCTATCACCCTATTTTAGCAACTATTATTGCTTGGAGCCTTATATATACCTAAACCATTACACCTTCACCTCACTCACCCCTTTTACTGAAAATGACAACCAATTTAACACCCCTATCCTCCCTCCAGGTAACCCGCCAACAAATCCCTCCCTGGCGCCACAACCCCAACACCTCCATCCAGCATAAACCCCTTTCCATCTACCACGGCGCCTTCAAACCCACCGCCACAGCGTTTGAAACCAGCCAACATCTGACAAAAATCGGCGTTGTTGAGCCCCAATGGATCTATTCCATGTACCCTTACAGCCACTTCCACACCACAACCCACGAAGTCCTAAGCATCGTCTCCGGCAAAGCAAAGCTATGTTTCGGCCATGAGGACAATCCAGAGCGTTTCGAGGCCGTTGTTGCAATCGGAGATGTCATCGTTGTCCCCGCTGGACTGGCTCATAGGTTACTGGAGGATATCGAGGGTGGGTTTAAGATGATTGGCGCGTATCCAAGAGGTAAAGAGTGGGACATGTGCTATGGGAGTGAAGAGGAGGGGGACAAGTCTGCAGAGATTAGGAAAGTGAGTTGGTTTGAGAGGGATCCTCTGTATGGCGATCGTGGGCCTGTGCTTGATATGTGAAGAGGGTTGAACGGGGTATTTTTAATTATTAAACTAAGTAATTTAGAATAAGGGAAAACAATAATGAAATCCATGCCTGAGAACGCATGCAATGTTTGTTGTATATACAGGACAAAAGAAATACACTTGGGGAAGAAAGAAAAAGACCCTTTGTTGCACTCATCATTTTTCGCCATCCCGGATCCGGCCAAAAAGGGAAAAATGTGAGAAGGTGAAACTTGAAATTGAATGACAAATGAAGAAGTGAAAAAGATGAAATAAGCCAAAATAAACGTAATATAAAAAGGATCTGAACAAGAAAGAGTGAACCAGAACAAGGAGATCAACGAGACACGCAGGGATGCATATACAGCCCAAGTATGGGAAAAGCAAATAAAAATATGCAGGGTCAAAGATGGAATTAGGAAGAAATAAAAAAACAAAAGTATAGCAAATGATGGTCAGGAAAGGAAAAGGATATTTGAAATAGGAAAAGATTTATTTTCCAGTGACTCGCTCCACAACCCTGCAGATTGCAGTTAGTATGGTTCGTCTAACAACGACATTTAAATGAACGGACGGTAATGCGAAAGGAAAAATGAAAACTTCTGCACGAACCTTAGAACACTAATAGCGAAGGTCGTAAGCCATGCAATGAGTACAACCAACAATACAGAAGCCAGGGTTTTCTGCCGGTCACAGAGAAGTCCGTTTCTGGGGTCAAATATTCCATCTACCTCCCCAGCTCGACACGCGCTCTGAATATCCGACAAACTTTCAAACGCCAGACTAAGATTGGCTGACGCAAAGACGATAAATATTAGGTCGAGGAATAGTAGTCGCAGCTTAGCCTTGGCAGGCCGGAGCCCTAAAGGTTTCCCAGTGTATTCGTCATACGTGATATAAACCAGATAGACCAGTGCTATCGAATCTACAATGATAGCCATATCTGAGGAGGGGCCTTGAGAGTGATTATATTTCGTAGCATAGTAACGGATAGAACCGCCTAGAGCTAGGGCGACGACCGAAAAGATAAAAACCGTGAGGCGGATCAAGAGCGGGACAATAGGGCTTCGTAGTAACTTGGACTGGATTTTGCTGAAAAACTTCACTTTCCGCTGTCTGAAATCCAAACTGGGTTGGCCGCCACTTTCCAAGTCCTTTTCGTTAGTGTTATGGCCCTGCCAAGGAGTCGAATAGTCCCCCAGATTCCTTTGTAACCAGTCGTGGTCAACAAGCTTCTGCTCTAGATCTGTAGACGACCGTGGGTATGCACTGGTTTTGGCAAATGTTTTCCATCTTGATTCTCGCGGAGCTGCTCCGGAGGAGTCATAGCTAGTATAAGAATCCCGCTGTTTCTCGTGCGGGGCGTAGTGGTGTTGGGCGATTCGCGCACCTGAGGGTTCTGGGGGAACCGAATGGGACGGCGGCGGGAGGCCGGTGGTCTCATCATGGACACGTACCCACGCTATTTAGAATTTTTTTAAACGTTAGAATCAGGCGGGAGGAGATGGAAGTTCGGGGGTTGGTTGGACAGGGTCTATACCTGGTATTGTTCTGGCAGAAGGGAGCGGGTTATTAGATTGAGTCCCGATGCTTGCTCCCTTCGACGGAGCTCTACTAGTTGGTCGAATGGAACCCTTGTCGTGTGAGCATCGAAATCCGGAGCGCACCTCATCACCATTTACGCTTGATCGCGCAACCGACGTGCCCGACTTCTGTCTGACAAGGGGATGGTCTACCAGGGACAACTCCGATTTCCTTCGGGGTGACACTCCACTCTGCGCATCTGGAGGCTGGGGGCGCAGATGAGTGTCTCCATAAATTGCCATAGCCTTGAGCTAGAGCTTCTGTATCCAGAGCGTGGCTGTGGTTGAAGGCGGGTGACAATCAATGGGGGTGCCGATTGCTGCCTCCCATGATTTTGGCCGCAATGACGGCGGCGAGGGAAATGAATCAATTCCCTTTTGACGTTCACCTGGGGGAGGTTCTCGGGTGGCAAGTTAAGAGGAAACGTAAAAAAAATGGCAAAAAAAATATGGACGAATAAGGAAACAAGCGTCGGGCAGTGGATAGTATGAAGGAGATGAATTGAAGAGTGACAATAATGTTTGGCGCTCAGCCTCGCAGTTTCAGAGGGTTGTCGTCCTCGTCGCGCCAATGAAGACGCCAAGACTCGCGGCTAGCTCAGAAGCCAGGCGAAAGAATTCCTGCTGGAAATCCTGACATGACGACGTCTCGACTGCGCCTCCATCAAAAACATTTTTGACTGCACAGCTCCAGCTCCAGCTCAACAAAAATATTCTACGCTAGGCTGTTGGGCAATACAGCTGAAAAATGCTTCTTCAAAAGGTGACCCGCAGCCGCGCAGAAATAAACTAGCTTCGTTCTTTTTCTCTCATCCCATTAACATCCGGAACCCAACCCCTCCCACCTCCGTGGCTTTGCGATGCGGCTGTACCTCGTCCCGATTTCCACGGGACGATCTCTCCTTTACTGCAAAAGAATCGACACACGAACCGCAAAGGAGTTGAGCCGGATTGACCGTATCACCCAAAAAGCATCGGATACCTGGGCGAAGTGGGAGGAGGCGGATAAGGGCTGGAAAAAAAGCCTGGTCACCTACGGAAACCGTGTGCTCCAGCGCATACCATACGAAGAATGGGGTCTGAAGAGTGTGCCGCCATTGAGCACGAGGAGACAAACTGAAGAGCTGCAGACCCATACCCAGATTTCGCTCGTGTACCCCAAGAATGTGATCCAGCAGGGCAAGGTACTGGACTTGCTGAGACAGTTGGCTACCGAGAGACAAAGTTTACACCGAAGTCGGATGTTGTGGAGCATATGCATTGCGCCATTGACAGCTCCTATCGCTCTCATACCTCTGTGAGAATTCCACCTAGGATTCGCTAGTTCCTTGTGCAATGCTGCACGATACTCCCGCTAACTTTGGAATGTTTTCTTTTCTTTCCTCCTACGTTCCAGCATTCCTAATATCCCATTTTTCTACTTCGTATACCGCGGATGGTCGCATTGGAGAGGTAAGTTGGGCCTGTAATATCCCTGTTTTGAACAAAGCTTAGATACTGACCACACGAAAACCAGCATTGAGCGGCTCAAAACACCTGTGTTTTCTACTTGATAACAACCTGATAAAGCCGAGGTCCCTCCCGGCTTTAGAAACATTTTACGCGAAACGACCGATAATCAACAAAACTGTTTCTTCCGAAACAAATCCCAAAGACCCGGACACAGCCGAAGTGATCTTATTAAAAGAATCGGATGGCAAGCAGCTGGCGCAAATCTTGGGGCCTCACGAGCTCGTCGCGGAGGTAGAGCGAGCCGTAGGTCAAGTAAGATATATTCTTCAGGAGAAGAAAAAGGCGTGATTCAATTGGAACTATGGGCGGCCTGGCTCCGGTGGTTTGTTCGCTCTGACTATGTCGATTTTGTGCGGGCCAGCATGCCAGCTCTGCCTGACAACCGAAATCGGGACAGAATCATTTTAACAGGCGGAGCTTTGAAGCTCATAGCCGTGTTTACACGCTCCACGGATTGCGATTTTACTACAATATTTTTTTCACTCTTTTCGACAATTCTCCTTGACTTTACTTGTATATTAAAAATTAGAGCGATGATATTGATTGGGTTCCAGGGGTTTCATGTGGTATGGTTTGCATAGAAGATATTTGGTTTTTTTTCTTGGAAGTGAGGTGTGGGTTTTCCAAATTTCTTCATTTTATGCTTGATAAATGCGCTAGCCATCTCCATCCCAGGGGGTCTAGACTCCTACATCTAGTTTGTTTCAGTCATGGATATGTCTCCTTTTTCTTGCTTTGGGTTGTGCTATCCACGAAGCGCCTATGTTCGAGCATCCACGAGAGGGAATTCATGATCTCACCTCACTCATATGACACGGAGCATTAATCACTTACCATTATGTCGCTACTATACTTACGGACTTTGTCTTTCCGTTTCTACAAACCAACCGCCGTCTTAATATGTATCGTCGAGCTTATACCAGCCATTTAAATTTGAATTCAGTGTGGAAAACATAAAACTAGTGGATGACTGGGAATTGTTTAAATACCAAAACCCACTCATGCACTTAACCTGTATATATCATCAGACCCAAATTCTTTTGAATATTTATCATTGCGCCTGGTGCTTGCCCCTTGCAACTCAGGGGGTTCATCCGGATGCCATCACCGGGAAATTATTTTCTCCGATAGCCGCCTGCCACACGTCGCTCTAACCACCACCACCACCTGCATTGACTAGAACTATATGAACTTTCAACCCAACCCCAACCCCATTCCCAGTACCATCTTATCCCCTGCTACATGCTCATCCATTGCTATACAGCATGTCCGAAAAGAGAATAGAGCAGTGGGAAGTCGAGCGATACTGGGAGATCTTCTCTTCCCTCTCCAATGGCCAGCCACATCTGAACAACGCGCAAGCCGCTACAGTCCTAAGAAACAGCCGATTACGAGATGAGCAACTGGAGAAGGTGTGGGATTTGGCGGATGTGGACGGAGATGGTGAGCTGGACTTTGAGGAGTTTTGCGTCGCTATGAGGCTTATTTTTGATCTTGTCAATGGGGTATGAAACCGAATCTCACACGGGGACTGCGGGGGCGTATACCATAGGATGCAGTACTGGGTGGATGCGCATTATTTCACGCAGAATCCAGGTATACATGAATGGTTCTTGCTAATTTGAGACTTTGCTTCGTTTCTTCTTTGATGGCTCTAGGAATACGCCGATGTGCCACATTCATTACCAGACTGGTTGATTCCAGAGTCGAAGGCACATCTAGTCCAAGCTTCGCGCGCCCTCACGGGAAGGCAACCGCAATTCGAGCGGGTGGAGGAGGAGGACGATACCCCTGGCCTCAAGGACGGGTTTGACTGGTACATGAGCCCAGGCGACAAATCCAAATACGAGGAGATATATTCTGCGAACAAGAACCATCGCGGGGAGGTAACATGTAAGTATAACCTATCTATCTGCTCTACTTCCTGCTAATAAAATCCCTAACATTCCAACTCCAGTCGAGTCCCTTCAACCCCTCTATGACTCCCTCGCCGTACCCGACACCGACATCCGCTCCGCCTGGAATCTCGTTAACCCTTCCGCCTCCTCCACAATCTCCAAAGATGCCACACTCGCCTTTCTCCACATCCTCAACAACAGACACGAGGGCTACCGCATCCCACGCACTGTCCCCGCTTCCCTCCGCGCCTCCTTCGAATCCAACAAAATCGACTATCAACTCGACAACGTACGCCCCGCGCAGCGATGGGGCACTGATACTGACATAGATACCAGCACCGGCCGCAAGGCTAAATTCGGCGACGCATATCTGAGCCGCCTAGGCGTTGGCGGGCGGACTACGTATCGTCCGCAGGGGACTGATTTCAGCAGCACGATACAAGATGAGGAGTGGGAGAAGGTGAGGCTGCGGCGCGAGCTGGCGGAGTTGGAAAATAAGCTAGAGACTGCTAATAGCGCTTTGGAGTCGAGGAAGAGGGGGAGTGGCGCTGTTAATGGCGGGCCTAATTGGACGCTTATCAAGAAGGAGGCGTTGCAGTTGTTGGAGTATAAGGAGAGAGAGTTGCGGGAGCTTAGAGAGGGTACTGGTAGAGTTAAGGAAGGGGAAAGTCTGGAGAGGTTGAGAGAGGACGTGAAGACGGTTGGTGATCAGGTGGAAGGGTTGAGGGCGCATTTGGCAAGGAGGAATGAGACGTTGGCTGAGTTGAAGGACCAGATTCGGGAGGAGAAGCGGAGTCGGTGACGTGGTGTGGTGTGTGATGTTGAGACCTGCGTGGATATGAAGAGATACATTTTTTTTCCTCTTTGATTTGTTGACTTGAAGGCCTTTCTCACCCCTTTTCTATCTGTAATACTTACTATGCGGCGTCTATCCCAGCCCGTTTGTTTTACCCTATTTAAGTGTCGGGTCCATTTGCGAGTTCTTTTTTATATGCATCTTTTTTGCTTAGCGGGAATGGAATTTGGAACTGCCTGGAACATATCCTATATATAGGCTTTTGGATTTTTGATTTGATCTTTGCTCCTCCAGCGTTGTTTACTTGCGTGTACGCTCCGTTGCAGATAGATGTGTATGGCAATAGAGCTGGCTACCAGGATGGCCAAGCCATCACTAGGGACTTTGGGAATTATTGATTTATATGAGAATGCTTCATGACTACAGAAGCTTTAAACAAAAGTGGTATGGCATACCCCTGAGCAGCAGCAGCAGTCCCTCCGAAAAGTAAAGGATAAATGGTATCAAGTTGACGCAATTCGATCCTCCCTCCCCCCTCGCTAGTCACCTACTAGTAATCTCAGCCATCATACCTTCCATCTCTTTCTTCGGCTCCACAGCAAAGAAGCTATCACCTCCCTTATCCAACCCCTTCTCAGCCCTTTCATACGCCTCATCACTGCGATCAGTCAGTATATCCAGGTCCCGCTGCGAGAGGACCGATTCTGGCGTTTCCCCTTCACCACTTCCAACATCCAGGACTTCAAACTCAGCATCTCCGAGGACTTTCCGAAGCTCTTCCGCCTCAGACGACGCAGCTGCAGAGCCAGGCTCTAGCAGGCTTTTGAACTTCCCCTTTTGAATAACTAGTTTCTCCAACCTACGCTTTGAATCTGCCTTTTCGAGCAGGGTCTGCTCGACGGTACCCCTCGTTGCAAGTCGATAGACAATCACCGGCTTTGTCTGGCCAATGCGGTGCGCGCGGTCTTGCGCTTGTAGATCCTGCTGCGGATTCCAGTCCGAGTCGAAGAGGATAACCGTATCCGCGGCTGTCAGGTTGATGCCCTGCCCGCCGGCGCGGGTGCTTAGGAGGAAAATCCTATAGTCCTGGTTTGTGTTGAAGGCTTGGATTTGCGCTTGGCGATCAACTTGGCTGACTGCGCCATCGATACGACAGCAGTTCCACCCGCGAAGGTATGTCGCGTAGTCCTGCAGGAGGTCGAGTTGGGTTTTGAACTGGGAGAATATGAGGATTTTGTGGCCCTTGGACATTAGGCAGGGGATCAGCCGGTCGAGGAGAAGCATCTTGCCTGACGAGGTTATGAGGGACTCGTCAATGTGAGATGGGTCATCATCCCAGGGCCAGTAGAAGTTATGTGGAGAGTTGCAGGCTAATCTAGCCTGCATGACGGGGTTTTGGAGCTTTTTCGAAGCAATTTCCTTTTCTGTAGATATTAAGAAGAAAGATCAGACCTGGGGTGGAACTGCATCTGATAGTACGTATGCAAGACGGAAAGATAATACTTACTGGCAAGTTGAGCCGTTTTGGTTTTTTCAATCTTCTCCAATTCACACTCACTCAGCTCCGATTCCTCGGGCTCTGATTCGATTCCCTGTTCTAGTCGCCGCAACTTGGCGTTAAATTCTCGATCGCTGACCTCCTTATAGCTCAGACGACCCCTTCTACGGCGTCCAGAACCCAAAGTACTTCCGGGTGTGGATTCACGGCTGGATTTCAGGCTTTTGTTTGGAGTGGAAGACCCACTACTGGAAGGTTTGCGCTTTAGACATTCAGGTCTTGACGTCTTTGGAATTCCATTTCTGGCATTGATCCTCTCAACTGCTTTTTCTTCCAGGTATGCCCTGCTCGAACCATTCATAATTTCAAGATAGAGATCCTTCTGCTCGGGAGTTAGCGGTGCGTACAACACATATTCCCGTTTTTTTGGTAAAGATGTTTCAACATCTGTCTTCACTCGTCGGAGCAAGAATGGTTTCAAAATTGCGTGCATGGTAGACACGAGGTTACGTTTGCGCCGCTCGATCACAGTTTTTTGACCTTTGTTATCCAGAACGGAAGAGAAGTCGAACCAGCTCTCAAAGCTACCTAGATCGTTGAACACTTCGGGAAGGAGGAAATGAAGCAAAGACCATAATTCAGCAATGTTGTTTTGCAGAGGTGTTCCTGTGATGAGGAGACGGTTTGCAGAATTATAGGTCAGAAGTTCCTTTATCAGTCGACAGTTTAAATTCTTCAATCGATGTCCCTCGTCCTGCGAACCATTCTGTCAGCGTGATACATCTACTAAGGGCCATGATTGATGTAAACTTACAACAATGATGTATTTCCACTGATACTTCGCCAAAAATTTCCGATCGTTCATGCAAATCTCATAGGAGGTGCATATAACAGGAAAATCCGGCTTTTTCTGGTCCTGCAATTTCATCCGCCGCTCTCGAATCTCGGCGCGTTCATCTTTAGTACCATGATAAAGTACTGTCTCAATACTGGGTGTCCAGTGCGCAAACTCAGCAACCCAATTGCTTACTGTGCTAAGCGGAGCGGAGATCAAGAATGGGCCAGAAACATTGTGCTCCTTGAAAAATGCAATCAAAGATATAGCCTGGATTGTCTTTCCGAGACCCATCTCATCTGCAAGGATCCCACAAAGACCATTCATCCATAGGGATTTCAACCACTCCAGGCCCTCAAGCTGGTATTCCCTCATTTGGCCACCGGTTACCGGTGCAGGCTGCTGCGTAGCAACTAACTTCTGCTCGCCTATTGCGGTCGGTTTCGCTTCATATTCTTGTGCAGCTTCTTCCAATGCCTCTTGGACCGTAGGATTATCGTCTGGGATTTGTACATCGGCTTTCTTAAAGTAACTCGAGATGGTATTTCCAGCAGTGCTTTTAGTAGGACGACTTCTCGTCGGCAACTTTGTTTCTTTTGGCCCCTTTGCTACGTTACCATTCTTCAAATCATGGACCGATGTCTGCTCCATCTGGGATGGTTTGCCGCTGCCTCGAGTGGCTCTCTTCTCGGTTGTTGTAGTAGGAGCCTTGTCCTTCGTTGTCGCTGCAGCTTGTTTTGCCAGTTTCCGCTTGGCTTCTTCTTGCTGTTTCCTTTGCTGGTCCTTCATTTTATCTGCCATAATCGCCACGAATACCTAATGAACGTACGTGATTAGCGCCGGTCTTTTAAACTGGCCTCCAAATAGTGGGTACCAACAACCACAAAGGAAAGGGGGGGAATGGAACTTACAGAGCTTGTCTTGAGCAGATTGGTCAAAGCTTTAGCTTTGACGTCCATGCCCTCCTCATCGTCCTCCTCAACATTTTTGTTCCAGGCTGCATGCCCTTGAGCGGAATCTACTTCCATCCCGGACATGTCTCCCATATTAGTATGGAAAGCGAGGGGAGACGATAGTTGTGTGGATGCTCCGGGAAATTTTTCTAATGAATCAATCGAACTATCAGACATAGGCGGCAACGTAGCCAGTCCACAGACATCCGCTTGTCGAAGTGATATTGGCGTTAAAAGTAATTGAAGGGGGCTGCGCAGAGTTTTTTCTAAGGACGCACAACAGTTAGCATGACTGTTATATTGAGCAATTATTTTAAATCTTCAATCCCTGAACTGCAATTCCCATTCTAAGACGGGAGTAGTGGACGCTATGTTCATACTTCCAAGCAAAGTACTTATTGTGGCTGCGGTTGATATTGATAACCGAACACGGGTAAGGGCAAACAGAGAGCGATGCTCTTAGGATAAGGAAGTAGAGAAAGAAACACTTACATACATTGCATGGAAGGCTCTTCACAGAATGCAACCAACCTCACTCTGTTGATATGCAAGCTGGACTGACCAAGGCATGCTCCCGCCCTTCCTGTTCTCTCCCGGCGTTTGTTCTTCAGCCTGCTCAGTTCAGTTGGGGCCCACTTTACGCGTGTTAAGGTCAACGGCGCGAAAAACTCGCGTGGAACTACTGCACTATTACGTCAGCGCCAAGACACGCGTGGAGACCACCTGGATACGACTTTGGACTTTGGTCGACAACATCTTTCAAGTTTTACATCCGTACTTATAGCATCAGTTGCGATTTTCACTATAGGTTGCCGCAACTGCGCTCATTGATTGTGTAGTAAGTAATCCGTACACTATCCCCGGTTAGGGTTGGTGATATTAAAGCCTCAACTTAACCTCTCCCTCTCCTCAAGCTCCAATCTGGGGCTACTTGAGCTGGTTTAGCTGAAAAGAGAGACGCATTTCTGCACTGGCACTTGCCCGCGCTACACTTTATCAGTACATTGAGGCGGGTCTTATGCTTGGAACCACCGTACTCAGATACACCCACCGACCAGCACAGTTGAAAGAGGTCGAGTGGTATTACACTGCTAGACAGAGCAAATGTGACAGCCAGATGGCGGGCGGCAATTCTAGCTTCAGGGGAGGCAAAATCTTTCTAGAAAGCTAGGCCGTCCCATATACAATCGCAATTCGCTTGCTTTCGGATAACTGTACTCCAGATGGTGTTGTGGGGACCAAAGGGATGCCCTGTTAGCGTGTTGTTTTCCTCCTAATTTACATGGCAGGGGAAAGGAGATTTGCCTACCCAAGCCATTCTTTTTTCGTGGGATGCAGGCAAAATCAGCCCTACCTACCGCAGTCCCAGTGTGCAACTTGACCTTGTCTGGGTACACACTGCGCTCTCGCTTTGAACTACAATGCAAAAGGTATACGAGATCCATTGTCGAGCATCCTTTATGAGTTGGACATAGCCTGTAATTGCGATAGTCTATGGCTGCATTCTATATTCCCCATTCTTGACTTCTTGGAGAACCATCAATATTCTTGCCCACATTGCTGATGGGTCGGGACTTCCCAACTTCTTTTTCTGTATCTTTGTGAAAATCATCATGGAAATTCCTAAGATCTTGCCGGTTTGCCATTTTCCAGCTAATACTCGTTAACTTCGCGGGGTGGTATGTGCAGGAACAGTGTGATTATTCGTACAAGAACGCATCCAACACGAGGGGACGAAGAGATATATTTCAAGCTCAGGCGGATGTTGGCTGCTTTTTCATACTCTGGAAGAACTTCCCGTCGTGCCCATGGGTTCCATTTGGCGCCTTGACCCACACGAGTGGCTTTATATCGGTGATTCTGACGAACGGAGACTTCCCTACCATGAACTCTAGAAAGAGTTCCATACCCTTTCTCTCAACTCGAAAGGGAGGGGAAATTTTTGGGTAAATCAAAATTTCGAAGTCGATTTAGAATACATCCTGACTGCTGTCTCCAAGCGCAAGTCCCCTTTCTCTTAACACACCCGAAGCTGAGAACCTACGATCGTAGTTTCACAAACAAGGCGAGTGTCCCTACCAAAACCGCGCATATATGACGGCTGTATCCATAGGTGTCTGGGTAGCACCACGCAGATCCTGGTAGAGAGAGGGGTAATGCTACAAGGAGCTTGGTTTGATTCCTCTGGTCTCCCATTTCTCCTTCCACTCTCGTTTAGCCGCAAGCATTTTAGAAGCAGGCATCCTCCATGATAGATAAGTCTTCGACAGGAACCTACAGCAGTTGAAGCAAAAGAAGCGAAATTACGGCGAAGGTTGTTCGCAACTTACCAGTGTACATTCTTATGGAGGCACATTCTTTCGAATCATTGTGATTCATTAATTCGTTCATTCATTCATTCTTTAAACGAAGGATTCCTTTATCTGATAGTAGATGACGCTGCTACTAGCTAAAGGATCTAAGCACTTGAAACTGAAACAAAACGGGAAATCAAAAATCCTAACCAGAGAGAAACAAAACAAGAAAGAAAAGTTGGGAGAGGAAATAGAAAAGAGGGGAAAATCCGGAAGCCCACCCAACGGGCAGTGTGCATCCAAGTCCAACACATTGTTCACCTTGCACCAACAAGGGAAACTTGGGGGGGGGGAAGAACAAAGGAAAGAAAAAAAGGAAAGAAAAAAGATTGGCCAGCTTCCCAAGCTTCGCCTATTCATCCCATTGCATCACACACCTAACAAACAAAAACATTAAAAGTCAGTGGCTATTTCTTGCCGCCTTTTTAATGACTCTTGTACTCCTCCTTCTCCCACTGTTGGTTGCCTCCACCCCAACCGCATTACTGCTCTCAGTAGCCTTCTTTGTAGACTCTTGCGCTATTTCAGTCGATGGCGCTGCCAATGATTCCATAGGTTTGCTGGAAGGCCTCTGCTTCCTCTTCGTCCACCCATTCCCACTTCTCCTAGTTTTTCGTTTTGGTAGCTTTTCCGTCGTTCCCGAGTTGAGTGGGTTTAAAAGTTTTCCTTTGGGGCCAAAGAGCGCAGTGTTCACGTCTGGGGTCGAGGGAGCAGGTGTCTCGGTTGACGATGAAGCGTGCTTTTCCTGCACACTATCTATTTCCATACCCGTGTCTTCGCGATTCGCCTCTGTCATCTCCAGTTCTGGGACAGGTGAAACTGAGCTTTGTGCTGTATGTAAGGAGTTCTGTTTGGCGGATGGTTCCTCTGGATTAGTAGGTAGTGAGTGGGATGTACCTATTAAATCACCCGGGACTTCCGCATTATTTGGGCTAGGAAAACTGGTCGGGGTTAAGAGTGGCGGCTTTCTACTGCTGTCTGCAGGTAGTGTGGCATATACCTCCGGCTTCTTTGTGTGTGGTTGGTTTTCGTTCTGCTTGCATTGGGCTTCGATGGAAGGCGGTGTTATTGGTGAATATTCCGGCCCTTCTCTCTCCATCCTTGGACGATTGCTGAGAGACATATACTGCGGAACAGAATTTGCTCCCACGGTGGGGATTGTTTCTGGATTCCCAGCATGCCCCGCTGGACTACTTCTCCATCTTGCCAGTGGTTCCATCCTCGCCCCGTCGATCTGGTATGTATTACTGGGGCTAGGTGTCATTAAATTCGTGTATGGGAAGATCGGGTTTGATATATGACATGCTGATTCTGTCCGAAGTTCAGCTTGCGCATCAGCTCTGGCTGCCGCAAGGCTATCTCTGTACATCCGCGAAGCTCTAGAAGCAGCCTCGGTGTCTTCCCAATTTTGTTGATATAGCCATGGCCCCGCCAATGTTCTCTTTAGGGCTTTGGAGGGCCCGTCTTTACTCAAACTTGCCTGGCGAGACCATGTTGGAGGTAGCTGATTTGCACTGACTGTGTTATCATCGGCAACGTTTACGTTTGGTTGTGACGGACCCTGCATAAGGTCTCCTGATCTAAATATATCTTGCTGTATGCGAGCAGCGCCTTGCGCTCCAACTTTAAGTCGGACCACAGGCTCATGAGCTAGAGGTGATGGCTGGGGAAAGGTGCCAAGGAGTGGCCTAGATGATTGTAACCATTGGGGACTTCCAACTCTGTCAGTGGGAGCTCGACAGGGGAGGGGTCGGGATGTGCCAGGCCGAGAAACAGATGATTCCCGACGACGATGACGAAGTATATGCTGAGCAGCATTTAGACTGGGATCGAGGATCTGCTGCCGTTTCGGATTCGGGGAACAATCGGATTGTGAACTATCATCGGGTACTGTTTCTGAATCACAGCTACTCTCGTGTTCTGTACCACCATGATCAGAGATAGTATCTTCCTCAGCCACTGGTAATTCCCCGGTCCATTCGAAGTCCTCGTCAGGATGTGCCAGGCCAGTAGTGGTGATCGTCACAAGGTTATTACTCCATTCACCAGCAAGCTTCGGGTCCAAACCAAGGCTTCTCAAATATTTGCGGGCGATCAGAATATCGCTAGCCTGGCTCATGGAGTAGTCCGGATCTGAACCTATAGCCGTGTCGAGAAATTTCTTTGAGATGGTTCGAAATACCAGCTGTCCTGGCACCTTTTGTGTCTTTAGGTAACTATTGTCCATTCGCAGCAACGCCCGGAGTTGTTTCGCTCTCATCTCTTTCAACCTCGCGTTCTCATTCCGGACTTGTTCCTTGCGCGCAGTGGAGTGTGCGAGCATCTTGACTTGTTCTGAAGGGCTAAGTCCCAGCCTTTCGGCTGCATGGCGAAAATTATAGATAGAACGGAGATTCTCGAAGATTTCTGTCTGAAGGGTTGGGGATATATCGCTCCATTTTACCTGGAGGAGGGGCCTCTAATAATAATAACAACAGTACATTAGCAGGAACATATATGCCCATAAAAACTTTCATTTGCACAGAAAGTATAGTGAAGAGGATAAACTCACAGCTGACATCTTCGCAGCTTCATGAGCACCTATTCCAACTTCGTTCTCATCGTCGCTTATATGTAAGTTCAAGCTGCTCCTTAGTCTGTGCTCACTATTCCCGAGTTGATACGGATTATTCGCATAGCCCCAGCCAGCCTGAAAATTGAATGCGGCAGGAGCATTGTTGCCAAAGTCATAAACGGCATCGACCATGGACACATCTCCATCGCCTCCCACCTTCTGCTCATGGTTGGTTGTAGTCTTATATTGGCGATCAGCCACATCTTGACGACCGAAAACACCACCGGTTCCAGCCTGTTCCTGCATGGGCTCTGTAATGTTGCTGGAACCCCCAGCGGTTTCCTGTGCAGGGCGTTTGTGTAGCTGCTGGCAATCGACCGTGGGGAATGCTGCAGGAGGTAAGTCCGGGTTGAACTCAACGATAGGGGATGGGAACGCGGGACGTCTAACATTCGATTTATAGCCACGAGGTTCGCTGCACGCTAAGGGCGGTGGAGTGGTACACTTATCTTCGTCATACCGTTTGGGTGGTTTTATAGCGTCCCTACTCCTGAGATTCATTGTCGTGTAGCGATATGTGGCCCTATCGTCGTAGAACTAACTAACCATCGGATAATCTGACGACAGGTTGTTGGGGACAACGTTTGTGCTAGATTAACGCGTTTCTTTCTTCCTTTTCTTCCTTTCTTTCTGTATTCTTCTATTAGAAGGAGTGGTGGAGTGCTGTTGTGTTGTGTTATTCGTTGCTAGGCCAAAAAGTGAAGTGGGTATAAAACATCCGAAAAGGGATGGGGGTGGAGCGGAATATACAAGGTAAACTTGGTCAAATGGCCGTTCTAAAATTTTAAAGGAACTGTACAAGGTCATAAAGAAGTAAGTGTATGAGATTGAAGATGGCGAAATCAAAAACAGTGAAGATGCTTTGAGTTCTTCACAGTTTGAGATTTGTTTATCTTGAAGTTGAAGTTGTGGGGTGATATAGGCCATCTGGATACCATTAATGTGGAGCTCCTCAGTGAATATCCACCAAGGGCTCCAAGAAGCCATCTGGGCTGTTGTTCCCTGAGCCAGGAGAAAGCAATACCACAAAAGAGCCATGGACAAACGACAAGCGCAGTGAATTCTGCTTGGGGGCCAAGAAGAGCAGGCAGGGAAGGAAATAAAGAGAAGAGACGAAGGAGATCAGAAAATATATTCCTCATAGGAAGCTTTGAAAAGGTAAAAATATTTTATGAGAAAATATTTCTGCAGTCTTTTCTTCTTTTTGAGTAACTGGACAGAGAAATACCAAGGCCCCAGGGCACGTTGTGATATCCTCTCAGGGTTAAAACCGTTAAACTAAATAAAATAGAAACAAACAGAAAGAAACGACGCAATCACAAAAACCGGATAAATCCAAACGCCTGGCGCTTATCATGTTCCATAAAAGAAAAAAAAGAAAACTAGGATCCGCATTGCCTCGAGTAAACGCCGCTTTCAACGCCGAATTTGTGGTCCACGTAGTAGTAAAAGCAAAGGAAGAAAGAGAGTTAAAGCCTCATTGTGTAGTAGTCTTCTCAATCTCTTTCAGATACACCTACCAGTGACATAGATGATTTCTGGTAGCCTTTTCCCGGGTATAATATCGCTCGCAATGGGTACATATCACGTGTCGGAATTAGCCGCCGGGTACATCGTTGAAAGGAGGTTGAGGGCTTCTAGATATGAAGCGCTCTTGGTCTAAGCGGGCCAGAAGCTCAGAATCCGGAACGTCACCTACACAATCTTCTAACCCTTGCATGGCGTCAATTGCTCTTTTCTTAGGGTTGGATAATCCTGCGATGGTGGCCGCACTTCCGTTGGAACAGTTGGTTGCGTTTTGCGCTTTGACGACATCTCTTTTCGCTGCAAGGATGGATTCAAATGTCTGGAGCACGTGCTTCATGGATTCGGGAAGATTGCAGCAGAGTCTTCTGCCCTGGACATTGATGAAGGCGGTTAGAACATCGTAGTTGAGCATGGCCATCAAATAGGCGATAGCGACAGCTGCTGAACGCTCGTTCCCCGTCTCACAGAAAATCAGAACCTTCTTCCACGGCTGGCTTGGGGCGACCTTTCCGGGCATGGTGGCTGCATCCGTGTGGTGGACTGGGCAGCAGCATATGTGCTCGTTGATTTTCTGAATGATGTCAGGAAGCGTTTTAATAAATTCTTGGTCATTCGCGACGACAATGTTGTCAGTTTCAATGCCTAGGGCGGTCGCACATTTGTGTGCATTGACAACACGCGCGTGGTGAGGGAGAGGACCCCTAATTCCGAGGAGGCACGTAATTCCTGCGCTTTTCACAAACTCAACATCTCGCGCGGAAGCTGTCGGCCCCACGTATAGGTACGGGAGAATGGCTTGGGCCTCCCTACGCTGATCATACCGCCATTTCATAAGGCTGAACCCGGAGCGGAAACTTCCTTGCCCGAGCGATTTAAAAAATCCATCACAGGCCAAGTAGCCGCTTGGGAAATCATGAGATGTTGGTGCCTCGAGATTCCGAAGCAGGGTGTAGTCCAATGAGTTTGATATCCCCGTCCAGACATGATCTAGGCCGGAGGAATATGGTTGGGTGGGAATATAAGAGGGTTCATGATGACCCATGACCCAAGTCGCTGCCCTCCCTTGGTTCAAGCCCTGTTCCACCATTACTGGAAGAAAGGGCGAGAAGCAAGAGATTACAATAACACCGCCAGGGCTTCCAGGGGTATGTTTTGGCTTAACCGTGTCGAACTATTGACGGAAAGGGACGGCCCTCGAAGCAGGAAATCTTCTCCTAATGAAACGGCTTGGCTGTGGAGATGTCAGAGGACATGAAATATCAAAACACGAAGACAAAACAGTAAAATTAATTCTGTCTGTGGCATGGCTGTGTCTACACGAGGCAGCGCGATGCCTTGGAACCTTGGAAGTGTTAGATATATCACGTGATATTAAACTGTAAGCAAGAGGCGAATCTTCGTGAAATCGTAGTCCAATGTTTTCAGCAGCAGTCAGATTTTGTCTACAACAACCAACAAAATATGAACTATTGTGAGCTCGATATATATGTGTATATATTTTTTCTTGTACCCTTCTCCTGAGAAAGCCTTGCAGCATTGAAAGTATTTCATACAAGTTTAATGTGGTTATCTTTTGATATGAACAATATTTATTTTAAAATATAGAATGCTCGGTTGATTTCGCGTGGCAGTCAGAAATTCTACAGAATGACTTCGGGTGCCTCAAAATCCCCCTCCTTTGCCGACTGGTGACCTCAGATGGCAGCTTGAATGAAATTGAAAATTGACAGCCCCCTGGCCGACGAGCGTGCCGCGTTAAACTTTCGAGACAACCCTGTGTGTCGTCCGAAAGGAGAGCTCTGACACCCCCCAGGCCACCACCAGTCCGTCCAGTCCATGAGTAACCTTGCATTCCCCAACCACCATTGGGAGGCAGCCCAGACAGAAATTTATCGCCAAGATCCACCCAGGTCCATTCGAACTTGTAGCCTGGCTATACTCGGAAAAAAGTTTGTCAAACCCAAAGGATTCCAATATGATTCGCGCCTTGCTCCCCGCACATGGATGCCTTCGTAGCCACCCACACCAGAACACGATGAAGCCAACCGGCATTTTAGCTTGTCTCGTAGCTCTCCTCACCCAAGCTATCCAAAAAGCCTAGGCAGAAAAGCACTGGCCAACAACTTGGATGCAAGGCAGCGTTCTCGAAAAGTAGTCCGGAAAAGAAGGTTTCATGCTGGCGGATTCCGTTTTCGGTTGCCCAGAATCTAGAGGAGAGTTATCGCCTCATTGATGAGGCCATATCGATATTGGATATCTGGGGATGCCACAAAGAAGCCCGGGGGCCATTAAAATCCAGCCCTGGGCGAAGCACAGGCACCAATGAGCGGTCCTTGGTCAGCTCTCACTGAGATCACGCAGATATATCTAGCTCTGGAAATATCCACCAGATCCACATACCCAAGAGGAGAGTTCATCTGACACATCCTGAACGACCCAGCAATTCCAGCGTGTAGTTGTCTAGGCAGCAAGAATTCATAAAGTGTTCGTCCAGTTGTCGTCAGAAATCTTCCACGCAAAACCGTTCTTCCGCTGAGTAAAACAAAAGCCACTGCAGCGACGCGTCCTTTTCGCCTCATCGCCCAAAATTTGTCAAGTTATCTATCCGCGAAACAAATTTCCCCCCTCGCCACATCCTCATGTCAACAACCTCCCCCAATCTCGCGTGCGGTTTTTCAACACAGCCCTATGAAGGCCGAGGAAGCTGTCACGGAATACGCCACCGGAAATATCGTCCACGATCGGCATTATCACCCGTTTCAGCTCGACAAAGTGGTGACACGACACGACGACTCATTGATGGTGCGCCTTTTCTGCGTTGACGGCTTCAGGAGTTCGGACAGCGCGTGGAGGGATTTTGACAAATGGTGACACTCTGGAATCACATGATGCTTCGCGGAGCCACAGCGCTAGCTAGTTAGTGCATTAGAGCTCCTTTTAGGCGTGGCGCGGATTATATGCAGCCGTAAACCGAATGAGCCGATCAACCGTGCTAACTGCCTGGGTTTTTTTTTTTTTTTTTTTTTTTTTTTTTTTTTTTTTTTTTTGTTGGAGAGTTGCTCCGGAGGCCGATTGCGGATTTTCAGACTTTAGGCGTGTAAAATATAGGTAAAACGTCATTCCGAGGGGAAAGCCATGGATCCATACGAAGTATGGGGTACTGCTCCATGGGTGCAACAACTGTCCCTGACACGATTTAGAGATGAATGGCTACTGGACCCAATTCAGTTGCTTAGCTGGCTTCCATTGGTGCTGGATAACATGGATGATAGACCAGGAACATTGATCAGCTAAGCGGGGTTCCGTTGACGCGTTCTTCCTTTGCACATTAAAATTGCTTTTCGCCCGTATGTGGCTTTGATATTCTTCTGGTTATAGGATTTTAGATCCCCCTTCGAATACACAACATGCTGCCACTTATCTGGACAGTAAGCTCATGGAGATTCGGTTCACATTATTACATATTTCTGACAGTCAGTTCGTGCGTTATGTGTATGAGTGATAAGCCTCAGCCACAATAGATAAGTAAAGAGGTTAAGACGCTAACGTTTATATGACATTAAAAACTAAGGAATGCCGTAATCATCAATATTTATATAGTAATGGTATATGCCAAGAGAGGAGACAATGGTGGCGTTAGAGGGGACGCGACGTGGTGCTAGATGGCAAGAGGAAGTGCCGCGTAGGAAGAAATGATGCGTTAAATAGCGGGAAGAGGGCAGTGATAAGTGTAATTGAGGAAATCGGACCGGGGGAGAGGGGGGAGGGGGGAAACATTCTAATGTTTATGCAAAGTAGATCTTAGATTTGAAAAATGGGGAATGGGTATAATGATAAGTGGAGTAACGCAATGAGTATGATCAGCGATAGAAAAAGTGTAGATAGGGGGGTATATGGATAGCATAGAGTCTCAGAGAAAGTAAAGAAACGTGATGGGCTCTGGGTGGAATTTAGAAGGATAAGGAAAATTCCATGCTCCCATAACCAAATAGTATAAAAATATGAAATCTGAGGAAGTTGAAAAGTACAAATTTGAGCCTGTCGCTATATGCCAAAAACAAAACTATGCTCAAACAAAAAGTAAAATGAAACAAAATGGGGACATCGCCTCATAAAATATTGAGTTAAATTTCCACGGTTCAGAATGGGCCGACTCATCTTGCCGGGTGCTCTTGGTTGTGCAGATATCGCTGCTCTGTTGTTTCGTCGTTATATCCGTATATACTCCGTCTACCGTTCAACCGTTCTGGATCAGTTGTCGTAGCTGCCTCAGCTCTTTTTCCAGTTCATCCAGCCTCGAGTCTTTTTGCATAGCTTCCCGCCGAAGTCGAGTAATTTCTTCACGGAGATCGGGAGGATTCGAACGCCCTTCATCTGAGGAAGAGTAAGATTTGCTACTACCGCGTTTCCTTTTAGGAGGGTGGAGGGGCGATAGCACGGTGCCGTTCTCGTGTGCTTCTGGAGAAGCAGGATCTTCTGGAGATCGACCGTCTCCTCCTCTGTGAAGGCGACGCAGATGTTCCTTGAGGTTTTCCTGTCTGGTAAATCCTTTCCCAGAGCTACGATTACAGTCTGGAAAGGGACACATCAACTTCTCCCCCTTGCTGTTCATTTTATGAACTTCACGTTGATGGCGGAGTAGGCCCCCTGAGTAGGTGAACCCTAGCATCTTGCCACAATCTGGGTTCGTGCACTTGTATGGACGGTCATGCTTATCCATGTGCTTGCTGATAAAAAAAATAATTAGTACATGCATGTTCAAAGGAATAGGGACTATAGAAAAGAAAAAGAAAAGAGTTACATACTTCCACTCACAAGGCCTCTTGAAGTAGGGGATATGATTGCGGCAATCAGGATGGTCACAGTATATCTGACCAGTAGCAGTTTTGGGTGGTTCTCTCGTCCGCCTTACAGCTAATCTAGGTCGAGAACCATCAACCACGGCTGGCGATACCTCTTGGGCCATTTTGGGTTCCATAGGAAGGAGAACACCTGTCGTGATCTCTGGGCTTTCGCTTCTTTGGGGACTTGGATATCCGATCTTATCACCCATAGCGGAATATTCAAGCAGTCAAATTTGATGTACAGAGTAGTGCAAATAAGGTACAAACGCCAGAAGGCGTGGAGGAGGGAAGCACCAGTTATATATGTATGGATGTCGATTCGTGAGGCTCTGCTAGGAGTAAGCAATCAATTATACCCCCTTCAACGATGGTCATGTATTGGGGACTACCGAATATCCGCGCCAGGCCAGTCATTCATTGGACGATTCCCATAGTGGCAACACCTGTCAGACAAGGAGTCTCTGACACTACCTAACTATATCAGTCAAACGGCGCCATGACTCGGGCTGTGGCCTTGAATAGCTGGATATATTCATCCCGTAAACAGCATCCAGTCGCAAAAGGGCTTGTCCTCCAACCCAGAATGGGTGGCCGCAGGCTACCAAGGAATGTGGAGATATGTGTAGGAATGACTCACCAATAACTAATCGTAGACGCCTGGAGCCCAGCAGGGATAATCCGCGCCACAAGCACACGACGTGAGCCAATCCGTTGGTGTTATTCGTATTTTTGCGATTGCTGCCGGCTCCTGAGGCAGCAATATTAATAGGGAGCTCTCGGATCGCGGAGTATTTGTGGCGCATGTAGTCTATATTCTGCAGACACCTCGCAGCCTTACTTGGAAGGCAGCGTTATCGCGGTCACGGGATCTCTGAGCCCCGTGATTCGGCTTTTGCTCAAAACGGAAACGTTAGGGCTCGACCACGGGATCCCCAATGAGGAAGATGGATATCAAACAACAAGTGCTTTTTTCCTCCCAACTGGGCCTCATATGAAGCAGTGAGACTCGAAGCCTGCTCAGCAGGTTCTTCAGCTGCCTTATAAAGCAGTTGACTCCGTCCTCCTCGCTCAGGGCAACCGTCTGCATGGATGTTCTTGTCGGGTCGGCTGTCGTGAATACTGTTGGTTGCTGGTTGCATATTGCGAACTCAAACCCAAGTGTGTTGTTACTACTAGGTTAATCGCACAACCACCCCTTTCCGAAGCTTGGTACAAAATGGCTGTTCTACCCTCCCAATGACAATGATATCGAACGGTTTGCTGAAGCCCGCCTCCCTTCGGTTAAGCGTGATTCTGTTGGCCTGGTAGCGTTGAGCCTGTCCATTTTGAGGTTAACTTCCTCCGCAATGCACCTCTTCGTTGTCACTTTTGCAACATCTCCAGAACTAGATATTCTCAATATGCAATATCTTCAAAAGGAGACACGTCAACGTCAATTGGGGAGACCCCAAGAATACTGCTGGAGGTCGTCGAATGTTCCACGGCCACGTCGCTCCACCGGAAGTCGCTCATTCGTGGAACCAATTGGCCCCCAACCCGTCGCCTTGTGCTTCTGTATGTACTTGGCAACCACCCTGCAGATATCCCTAAATTTGTATGAGAGGCAGATCAACGAACCTGCGAGGGCCCTTAAGCCCGATTTCTCGTGAACGGATGTATGCCGGGTGAGGAAGCTATGATATCAGGCCCCCATCAAGTCGATTCACTTGTGCGGACTGTCTTCGCAAATATCGCGAATACAGCTGATATATATGTGGGGCGTATGGTATCGATGCATCATTTTACACAAGTCTGCCTCCAATTACACCATGGCTCTACTTGCGCAATAGTTACCGCACGCATCCTGGGCAACTTTATTACAAGCTTACTTGATGGATTGCAATATCAGCTCACATAAAAAAGCCTAATGTGCGTTTGCACTTCCTTTGGGGATTTATGTTTTAACTTCATTGTGATTCTCTATGTCTACATTCCTCGGAAATCAACAAAAGCTGTCTCTACCTGGGCTGATGCCATTCGAATGGAAGAGCACAAAACTCATGATCATTTTATATAACCTTTGATTCCTTGGCTGCCTTAACCCTCAAGGCAGCCTTTGCTTATATTATAGGGAAATCCTGAGCTATTCCCTTTCCCCTTTTTCGTCGGCATACATATCCTATCAACCATCGAAGTTTTAGTTGGCCATGTGGTCGCTCTAATTTCGTTAGTTTTCTATATAACTAATCATGATAGCAGGATTATTGAGCAGGCATTGTATTCATTTGAGTGTGCTAACTTGTTGTTCAAACCTTTCTCTTTGCTGTTATAACAATGCATAACGCTCCTCCTCCAATTCATGTGTTCATATCCAGTCAAAAATTCTTGGCTTATCCTCTATTGCCTAATAAAGCTATTTATTGATGAGGATTGAATAGATTTGAGACCACGTATCAATTGATGCACTCTTCCAAGATGGCCCGGCAAAGTGAGGCAATTCACATTTACGGGAGCGGTATTGTGTTTCCAAGCCCCCATTGGACTATCAAAAGCCCTGCTCCGGCCACTCGCATTTTAGCTGCCTGTGAACAAAGACATGACCGCCTGATATTGTTGCTTCCCCAAGGTTTCTCTCGCTCAAAACTATCCATCAAATCAGCCATTGAGGTAGGATGAGGTGAGATGTGGAAGTAATTTTTTTTTTTTTTTAATTTTAGTTCATGATATCCAGGAGCGACTATTCTATTCTATTGATATGGATTGATATGGAAAGCGACGAATACTCCGTGTATGACACCGGAAATCATTGCTCTTCTTTGATATCGGCCCGGCCCACGAGGATCAGGACATGAGTTATGCGTAACACAGCCTTGGAAAATTGTATATTTCAGGGCAATTTGAGCAATAAGGGCTAAAGCGGGAGGTCGAGTGATTGTTTGCCATAGTTCATTCCTAGTGTTTTTGCTTCGAAAGATAACTTAGTTATATCAAAGTTCATCGATTCGGGTCATGATGCAGTTGTTTTTACAATAATGAATTTCAAGCCGTTCGTTCCCCTAAGCCAGCGACGAGGCTGTGAGTATACACAAATTGGAAGTATATAATATAGAGCCGCTTGAGATGGAACATGACCGGGAAGCAATCATATTTACTCTACACGCTGTTGGTTGAGATATTTAGTAAAACGAAAACGCGACAGAAAATGAAACCATTAAAACAAACAATCATTTTTGCCTTCTTCTTCCCTCTGCACGACAAACGTGGGATGCATATGAAAAGCTAACTCGACATGCGCCACAGTCTGCCCCATTGCATTCGGCCCGATGGTCTGCGGCTGTTTCAACGGACTCCGAGGTTGAAGATATGTTCCTGGGGTTTGCAATCTGAGAGTACGTTACTTACTAATTGACGCGTGGATCTACTTGGACAGAGCGAGCCTTTGAGAACGAAATACGAAAAACGAAGATCCGGTGTTCTGATAGTTACAGGAGAGTAACAGCGGCTCACACTTGTCCGACGAAGGATAAGTACGCTCTAAACGAAGAAAAAAGGCCTAGGATAACGAGCCCTTGCCTGCATTCATCTGGTGTGAGTCTCCCGTACGAAAGGCGGACAGAGCAACAGTTCTTTTTACCCTTGGAAATTTCGTTTCATTCATTTCGTGAAGGTGAGCCTGCAACCGGGATGCGGGGGTTGTTGTTGCTCACTTGATAAGAAACGTGGCCTCCAAGCGGACATTTATTTATTTATTATATAGCCCTTGAATACTATTTCTAAATTTCCTCTCCTGCTCAGGCTGTTAGCGAAAACCTGGACGTTCCATCCAACGTTCTTGGATTCAAAAATGGAGTCATCGAAACGGATAGACTTGGCTTTTACTAAGGCATTACCCAAGATCGAGGTATTTAAATATGTTGATTTCTGGCTCATCTAATTCTTTCCCCTCTAGCTAGAGAAACATATTTGGTCTGTTCCAGCAGTATTTATCCATGCATCAAGGGAGATATGAGATATCAACTGCTGGGCTTCCACCCAGACCAGCATTGACAACTGCATTTTTTTGCACTTTCCAAGCCATTTTACATGTTTTCCATTTAATATACATTTCAATCGCTATTTTTCTAATGCAACCTCGAACAGCTCCATGCCCATCTCACTGGAAGTATCTCCCGGGAATGCTTGCGAGAAATATGGCTGCAAAAGAAGGCAAAAAACCCAGATTTGGATGTAATAGATCCTTACATTGCAATGCCTCCAGGAAAGGTGGATTACACGCTCAAAACGTAGGTATCTAGCCCCTATTATTCCTTGCAATGGTCCCGGTTTGACGACTCTAATTGGATGGGCCTATCCTATTAATCTTTTCACACGGTGTTCCTATCGTCTGTTCTTGTTTTTCATGTCCCTGTTCTTAAGCATTGCTTGCCAATTTATGCGCATCACAGAGACTAAAGGGGTGCACACAGGTTCTTCCAAGTATTCACAAGCATGATCTACCAGCTCTGTACCGATTTAGAAAGCATTAAATATTCAACAAGATCCGTCCTAAATGATTTCGAGAATGATGGGGTTCGGTATCTTGAACTACGCACGACTCCGCGAGAAAGCCTGGAGAATGGAATGACAAAAGAAAAGTACATAGAAACGACGCTTGATACCATCTACGAATGTCGCAGCGACCAGATGTCAACCTACCTTATCATATCCGTGGACAGAGCAAAATCCGCCTCAGATGCCTATGAAGCGATAGATTTGGCCATAAAATACAAGAGTCGAGGCGTGGTAGGGGTGGAACTTGGCGGTAACCCAATGCGAGGAGATGTTTCTATTTTCAGACAGGCCTTTTCGAAAGCGAAAGCCCATGGTCTCAAACTGACTCTTCACTTTGCCGAGACGACATTTTCCTCGTCTCCTTATGAACTCAACACACTCCTCTCTTACGAGCCCGATAGGCTGGGCCATGTTATCCATGTTCCCGAAGATATCAGAGATGAAATTGCCTGTCGGAAGATCGGATTAGAGCTTTGTCTCTCATGCAACGTTCATGGCAAATTGATTGAGGGAGGTTTTCCGGACCATCATTTTGGCTACTGGAGACATCGAGACTGCCCGATTATTCTTTCAGTGGGTTCTAGCTAGGTATACCTCGCGGGATAGCCTTCCCGGTGGTGTTCTTCTTTTCCTTCCCCTCTGCGGTTTCTTCGAGCTAATACAAGGTAGACCGACGATGTTGGCTTCTTCTGCAGCCCCTTGTCAAACGAATATCTTATTGCAGCCGAGAGCTTTAAGCTCGACCATGCCACGGTAATCGACATGTGCAAGAAAGGGATAAATACAATATTTGCAGGACCAGGGGAAAAGGAGAGGTTACATAACTTGCTTACTGAGTTTAAAGCCAAGTATATGTGAATTTTTTCATTTGTTCCATAAATTTATTCGTGCGATGAACCTCACCAGGGGGCGAGCACGGGATATGCTAATCTCGCAGGAAATCACCCTCAAAATGAATTATACTTCAGATTTTACTAGCTTTCATTTATTTTATTCATGGAAATGGTCTCCTTCTTGTTCGTCTCAGTTCAGTGCTCGGATATTCCACCTATATATTTGGCGTATAAATCACATCTCATACTTCTGACTACACCCTTCCCTGGTTTATTTTCGCCATGCTCTCTTCCCATTTTTCCTGTTGCTATTGGAGCAAAGAACTGACAATGGTCCGTGGACAAAAATACGAAATTTAGCAAGGATTAGTGACATAATTTACTGTTGGAGGTTCTCCACTGGCCCTAGCACTAGAATAATCAACCAAGTTCAACCTCTTCTACATTTACGAAGTCGTAACTTCTCATTCATTCTTCATTTATATTTTTAGAACCCCGCATCAACGTTGGCCCTCCCTCATATTTACCTACACAAACGGGATATTTGTTCCTCATAGCTTTGATTAAAAATAAAAAATAAAAATAAATAAAAATAAAAATAAATAAAAATAAAAAAACTAGCTCTTTTCCTTGATTAATATCTGGACTCTCGTCCACGTTGGGTCGCTTAAAGTTAGTAGTGTAAGTTGCCATCTCTGTGATTGGTCAATTTAGATCGGCTCCGGTCCGATCCACGGCTTGCCGATCGGTTCCCCCCCAGCTTTTCAGTGAGATGCAAGGAAGGAGACCTAAACTTGGCCCAAATTATCTTAAAATGTCGCATGAAATGTCATATCTAGGCAACCGAGGTATGTTGCGCACTGTTCGAAATAACTGTCATAACATCTGAACTGACTCTCAACTGCGCTGCGCGGCGCTTCGCTTCGCGGGCGCGCAACAAGCCTTTAACCACGATCACAGCCAAGATGTAGAGGCCGAGTACGACCGTTTGCGCGATGCTGCTCGACGTGAAGCTGCACAAAGGGGCTCCTGCTTTGAGAGGGTTCGTCTGTCTTATATCAATTCGCGAAAACTGGAGAGGCCTCGTATCGGCCGGCTAACATAAATTCCGCTTCATAGTCTCGTCAGGCATACGAGAATGGCGATGGTCAACTCGCAAAAGAACTTTCTGAACAGGGCAAAGCACATGGCAGGAGGATGGAGGAATATAACAAGCAGGCCTCTGAGTTTATATTCAGGGAGAATAATGCGCCTGGCCGCGTTTCTTCTGATACCATTGATCTGCATGGTCAGTTTGTGGAGGAGGCAGAGGATATTTTGGAAGAGAGGATAAAATATGCACAGCGGCATGGCCAGACGCATCTCCATGTGTAAGTGTTCTTGCATGTGGATTCGACGGATTAATTGGCCACCCTGCATCAACTGCGATTGTGCGGAAGATAAATTCCTCTTCGTTTCGTTTTTGACTAGAGCCCGATAAATAACGATCGTGTGCGGGAAAACAGGATTGTCGGGAAGGGTAACCACTCCGTTAACAACGTGCAAAAGCTCAAGCCTCGAGTGGAGCAGGTTTTTCGCAGTTTAGGCCTGCAGTATACGACAGAGGATAACGCCGGACGAATCTACGTCAATTTAATGGGTGGCCCAGCGCATTTGCCCGCAACCCAACCCCATCACGCGCCTCCTCATCAGCAACAACAGCAACAACATGATCAACGACCTGACGAGATCCAGCAAGTGGCGAATACAGTCGTTCCTCGCTTCATGCGGAGACTAGAGAAGGCCTGTTGCATAGTTATGTGAATCTAGTTGGCTGGCTTGATACTGCTTTCTTTGGAAATGTCATATTGTTTTTACCTCTAGATATCTTCTTTGGCACATAGGGTGTGATACGGGGATTTATAACGGTCGGTTGATACCCTGATATGTTGAATATGTCTCAAATAAATAGACAACACTTAGATATAGATCCTTTTCGCTCGTCCATGCGCTGCCTAATCTCCTAGATTCGTTGTCTCTACTTTTACACTTTAGAGTATTAAAGTTGTCAGCAACTTCAACCTTCCGAGGTAACTCAAACCGCCATTCTCGATATGACTTGTATTGATGAAGATATAATCTAATCAACGTATATATATCAATATTAGCTCCCAGTGAAGCGGTGATCTCATAAACATGAAATATAGTCATTACATTAATATTTTATATTCTCGGACTAATCCATCTATTATTTTGTTTGTTTCTATCATATCTCTCGTTAAGTATTCAGTGTTCCACCACATCATCCGCATTCAAGATCAGAGTAGCGAAAAACAGCGGCTCTCGCACAAATTCAGCCGCACGGATAAACTCATCGGTGGTATGCGCTCGGTTGAGGTTGTGAACCAAGTTAATGGGTGTGAATCTATAAATGTTCTTCGTCAAGGACCAAAAAAACTTGGTATCTGTGTTCGCTGCCATCAAATAAGGGGTAACGACAAGGTCATCGTAGCCTTCGTCTTTATCCAGCGGCTTAAGAGTGTTTCTGATAGTACCTGAGAGGATACGGAAAGCTTCAGACTCCACGGGAGAAACGGGTGCTGGTTCCAACGCATCAATGCCTCTCAAGCTAATTTTCCGGGGATCTGGAGACTCTCGGGTCGAATGAAAGCCTTCGAAGACCATTCCATGTTTGCGTGCAATTGGTCTGATCAGGCTTTCGTAATGTTTTTCAATTTCGGCAATTGAAGTCTCAACAGCAAGACGTAGATTGACCATTGTTGACACGAGCTCAGGGATCGCATTGATTTTGACACCGCCGTTAATTGTCCCAACCGACTGACTTGTCCTGAAATAATATCGCATATTGTCCAACACCTGGGCTAACTGATTTTGAGCTCTGGAGTCGCCTTGTGCCACTTTGCTAAGTTTATTTCGAATCTCCATTGGGAAGCTGGCTTCGGGAGCATGTATAGCTGCGCATTCCAAAAAGCCAAACACTGGGTTCTCGGTAGTAACTTTGCCTGAGAAGGGGTTATTCTCGATTGCCGTGACGATCTCTGACATGATACCAATGACATTGTGGTCCGGTGGGTTTGAAGAATGTCCTCCAGTGGATGTGACATTTATGGCCACATCCAAGTACCCCTTTTCTGCCATGCTTACCATGGCGAACGATCGATCAAATTCCTTCTGCACGCCAGTTGACCCTTCGTCCATAATCATATAGATGCCATCGTCGCCATATCGCTCGTGCAACAAGTGCGAAATGGGTCGTCCGCAATTTTCACCACTGATTTCCTCATCGCATCCAAACGCCAGGATCACAGTTCGTTTCGGCTTGAATCCGCTCTTGATCAACAAGTCCACGCTTTCGATAATGGAAATCAGATACCCCTTGTCATCGGTGGACCCTCGACCCCATATAATTTCGCCATCGTAATATCCTTCGTAAGGTGGATGTGTCCAATCCTTCACTGTTTCCGCAAGCACAGGCACCACATCCTGATGAGCAAGCATAAGAATCGGCTTAGCTTCCGACGCTGGAACGCTGCCTTCCCAAGTCAAGATCAACCCGTGAGTATTGGCATGATCTAGCTGAACATGCTTAAATACGTTGGGATAGTTGGCTTTGATATAACTCTCGATTTTGTAGAATACATCCCAGCGTTTGTCTTCGCCAATCAAGCCCAGGTCGTCATAGCTTTCAGAGGGGATCTGAATGATCCCTGTAAGCTTGCGGATGATATCTTTATGATATTCCGGCGATTCAACCTTTTCTCGAATAAAGTGTTCCACGTTTTCGTTCTTTGGCGAAAGTTTTGGTCCTTGTTGGCATATCCCCATATCGTTGTTTGGGGAATACTTGTCGAGTCCGGGCGACCCAAACAACCCAAGTCGTTCAGTAATTAACGGTTTCCATAGCGGAACAGCTAGCAATGCTGATATTAGGCCAAACACAAGCGCACTTCGAACCACCAGAGATTGGAAAACGCCCTTTTCCTGAACCTGATTGCTTTGCCCGTGCATTGTATTTTTCTTCCTTCCTCTCAGTTTCCTTTCTGCACTCGCTGCTCTGGAGGTTTCGATCAGGATGCGAGAGCAGCAGCAGGAGCAACAACGCTCTTTCACACAGTTTGACGGAGCTATTGTTAGAGCTTGCGATAACAGAAAGCCAATGAAGACAACACTAAGGCAACATTCGGATTAGCATGTCCAGGGCTTCGGAAGTGGGGGTTCTCAGCATCTCTCATCGGCTTGTGGCCTGTGGGGTTTGGCGTATACGGCGGGCAATTTGCAGTCTGCAGTCTGCAGGGCTGGGATTATGCCGTGTTAGGCTGACTTGGCTCAAGCAAGTGATCATCCTGGTCCCCGCTGCTAGGCAATTCCTCAGTTTGGTTTGGGATGATGTCGATACGATACAGGGCCAAGAATATAAATGATTGGTGTTGGTCTGAGAGGTTGTGGGGATGGGATCGAACCCGATTTTCGTATTTAGTTCGCGTTAGCGCTGACGCTTAGTTAGCTACTCCACTCCAAGATATCACGATGGACTCCTCTCTCGAGTTGATGAAAATAATGCCTCAATTCATGCTTGACATGCCCCATGCCCATTTACGCTGTACTTTATTTAATTCCATCCCGGACCTCGGGCGCGGAAAAGATAATGTAACCTCCACGGAGTTCAGCTGTTCCCATTGGTCATCGGGAAAGTTGAAGATATCCAAAAGAGGCGTCTCCACAGGATTCACAGCGCTTTCGCAAAATCGGAGTTTCTAAGATAACTTGGGCCGCTCGGATATGTTCTCTCCTCTCCCCATTGGCGCTGTCACGGACGAAGGGGTTTTATGATGTTGGAAACATTTGATAGATCTTCCAGGCATTGGGTTTCCTATACTGTGTTTAGCGATCGCTACCCAAGTACAGCCTGACCTGTCACAGACCTGTGTCCAAGGCAGTGGTTAGGAACTTATTAGGGCAAGGGGTTCTTTTAGGTAAGGGGTGATCTGGGAATTGGTTTGAGATGAGAAGAGAACAATTCTTGATTTATGCTAAACTAACCTGCAGAGAGCGATCGCGCTATCAACAGTTCCAATTTGCTAACTAAATTTCGAAAAAGCTAAAGAAAGAAAATTCCCAAGCCTCAAATTCCCAAACTAGCCAATCGCCAAAATATGCAGGAAAGCATTGAATTACTCGAAAAAGCCGTTCAGATAAGCAGAGACCTTCCCCCTTTGCTTTGGCTCGTAGAGAGTCTCGTACAGATCAATATCGTCCTTAATATTGCCGAGACAGATATCTGCTGTGCCAGGCCAAACATACTCTGTCCGCTTAAATACCTTCCAGAATACAAAGGCAACAATAAAGAAGCCAACCATCGTGTAGTTCGTAAAGAATGCAGTGATATCCCAATTCCCGTGGATAAAGAGATTGTACCCCAAAATGAGTGTCATGATTGTGGTACCGAACAGAGCGTACCATGCGGTGTACGGCTGAAACAGGCCTTTATAGGGGAGGGTGGTTCTGTCAATGCCCTGACGACGGAGTGCCGCATAAAAGTGTAGGTACGTAATGATAGTTCCGAAGTAGTTGAGAAGGTACGAGGCTGTGCAGATTCCAACAAACCAGCTGAGAACTGTCGCGGACGATTCGTTGAGTTGCAGGAGGGCAAGGAGACAGAATGCAAGTGCTACAACAACTGAATAGTACGGTAGCCCACGCTTGCTGCACGTTGAGAAGAAGGCAGGAGCCTTGCCTTCAAGTGATAGCCCATGGAGAGTGCGTGCAGCAGAAAAAACGACGTTATTGCCGCAAGAGAGGACAGAAGTCATAATCAAGGCGTTAACTAGGTCAGGAACGCCCTTAATTCCGAACTTGACCATGGAAATAACGTAGGGGGAGCTATTTACATTTGTTAGCAAGGACGTATAGAGGGCATATTGGAGAAAGAAATGAAAAGTGGGAAACCTGGAGCAAGAAAAATGACAAGAAAACTTACGCAGCTCCGGTTCCGCTTCCTTCCCGTTTCCCTACAATTGTGTCGGCAAGAAGTTGATCGTCATATGGAATGACAATTCCAATGCAGAGTGCGCCGCCGATAAAGAAGAACATGAGGCGATACACGAAGGAAGAATATGCCCTTCGTAGAATCTTGCGAGGATTCTCTGCCTCTCCCGCAGCCATGCCTATATATTCCGGCCCCACCATGCTGGAAGGAGAGAATTTTAGATCAAAAACCGGAAAAGTCAGGGGTAAAAGGGGTAGTGCGGCAAGGTGCCTTACGTGAATGAGCCTTGAATCATGCAGGATAGCAGCCCACAAAAGCGACCAAGGTCTCCAGGAACAAGATACTCGACGAATGATCCCTATTTGAACAAAGAAAAATTAGTTTTAACGGATGCATTCTTTTGGAAAATTGAAAGAACAGAAGCACGCACAGGGTTTTTCCAGTAGCGAAAGCCGTAAACGTCGCCGCGTGGATTACCGCCGACCATTGTAATAAATGTATACATCATTAGGCCGCTGTTTATGTATGTTAGTGTCCTCATATTTAGCCACAACATTTCTGAAAGTTGTACACTTATCCCCATTTAATGAAATACTCACATCATCAGGAAAATTTTGAACATGGACATGTAGAACTCAGAAATTGCGAAGAATCGCACTGTAAGTCCATTGAGCACCCTACATAAAAAGCTCAGTATTTTCGATATCCAATTGAGCAAGTTATGACAACTTGAGAAAGGGGCGAGGAAGGAAGAGAAGGGGCTCAAGCCGCACGCGTAAATTACCAAGCAAACCATCACCACTGCAGCCACAGGGATTTTGTCGGTCCAGTACGTGAGAAGAACGTTGATGGCAGTAATCTCATATGGGACACTGAAAGCTATAGTGAAGAGATCAAAGGGAACAACCCGTAAATCTGGTTAGAGATGGGGCGGAAAATCCTGAGTACGACAGATGGATGGGCCCTACCCATAAGAAAGAAGTAGTTCCACCCCATAGCAAAGCTCAGGGCATCATCAACCCAAAATCCAGAAAGTCGGACGAAGGGTGATGGTATAGGCATGTAGGTAACCATCTCCGCTGCAGAATGGCCCGCGTCTGTCAGCTGGCTCGAGTACCAAAAGGGAAGTAGACAAAAAAATGACAGGAAAATCCACTAATGAATTGAACGAACCAAAGCACTGATTAGTTGAAAAGATGATTGTCCCATATACTATAAAGCCAAGCAAGAGACCTGCAGGACCGCCCTTGGGTAGGACAGCTCCCATCTGCACAAAGAGAGCTAAACGAGACAATCAAGTCAGTATCGCATAACTATCACCAGCCAAACCACAGCAGCATAGCTTCGAATGAACAACCTCTTTGTAGGGTACTGGGAGAATTGCATACATGTGCCAATTGCACCTCCTACAGCAAAGAGCTGTAGCTCTTTACCTCCAATTTTGCGGTGCAGATGCTGAGATCCGGCGGAGATGAGTTCTCCAGGTAAAGTATCGCCGCCATGTTTCTCGTCGATGTCAGAAGCAGCACGGTCAACCACGACTGAATTGGGTTTCTTCCGACGGAAGGGGTTGTTAGACTCCGTTTGGGTGTCCATTGTTCCGTTTCTTTTTTTGCGATAATCAAAAATGCCGTCTCTGTTTCTGAAAATGACAACCTACGAAAGCAGGTTTCACAGATATCAAAACGAGCCAAACCTTGCTCTTTTGAACGGAAATAGGAAATCGGAAAAAGAAAAGAAGCCACGGAGAAACGTCAGAACTATTCCATCCCATTTTACGAGCAGGGGACCTTGGCTTTACTCGTGTGTGCTCTTGTTAACTCCGTCGCCGCCGAATAGCACCGCAACTTCGGCAACAACTAATCCCCATTGGAAAGTCATGCTCCTGACAAACAAAGTGTCGGCCCGTCATACGATAGATCAACGCTTTTTCAGGATGATAAACCATGTCTCCAAAGTAGATGGTGGGCGATTTCCGCCCATCTCAGCAACCCTGTGCAGGGAATATACGAGCAGGGGAAAAAGGAATGTTGTTTGAGCACTAGAGCGACTTGATCTCCATGCGGGGGAAGCGCCACCGAAGAAACAGTCCCCACACCACATCGCTATCTTAGCTTAGCTAGTTAGTGCGGCGGGCGGTTGAGACTGGCAAGCTTTTCTCCCGCAGCCAGGATGCTGACTGCTACCCAACGCTCCTCTTAGCCGACGGACGTGAGATCGAAAGTCACCCCCACTCTTCTCGATGCAGGGAGAGACCGAGATGCCCGCGATTTACGCCCTCCAGACCCAATTCTCTTAATTCGCTTGAGTAACAGAAATCCCCGGACAACCCTCTTGGACCAGGCTAGAACAATACTGCCATCATGTGCGCTCAAAAGCGTGTGGGTTTCATTCGAAGCCCCTCGTCAATTATTAATCCAAGTGGGATGAGGTCAAAATTGTATAAAGAGGAAGGGATGACTCTTCACCCCAAGTTGCAAGACGAGAATATCACGAAGCGATAGACATAGAAATTTTAACCAGTCCAAATCCAACACCCCCTCAAAAGGCGAAAATGGCCACTCCTCTTAAGAAAGCCCAACCCTTCAAGAAGGCACTCTGGTTCTCCGAAGCAGAGCTGCTAGAACGGCGGAATCGGGCCGTGGAGCTCTTGAAACGAGAGAACCTCGACGGCTTTCTCTTCACGAAGCAAGAATCCTTATACTACCTAACCGGATACGACACCTTTGGCTATGTCTTCTTCCAAGCGATGTATTTCCACATTGACGGAAGCATGCGTCTGATTACTCGAATCCCGGATCTTCGACAAGCGCTTTACACGTCTATTTTGGAGCAAAAGCACATCCTCATTCGGTCCGATGATGTCACTAGCAACCCAGTGTCCCTGGTCCCGAAAGTCCTGAAAGAATTCGGCATTAACGATTCTTCGAAAAAGCGGATTGGCTATGAGCCAGATTCATGCTCCCTGACGCATAGGCTCGGTAAACTGCTGGACGAAGCAGTCAAAGACCTCTGCACGTTGGTCGACTACTCGAATTTGCTTAACCAGGAGCTACGAATGGTCAAATCCGAAGCTGAGCTACGCAAGGTCCGGAAAGCTGCTTACCTTGCTGACTTTGCCCTCGTTCGAACGCTCAAACTGGCCAAACCCGGTGCCTATGAAGGTGATTTATGGCGGGAGCTCATTGGAACTGTATATGAAGGTGGTGGTGATGATCCGGCGAATGAAAATATTCTTGTCTCTGGGAATAAGGCGGTTCTTACCCGGTATTCAACTGGAAAAGATACGATTGACAGGCAACTTACCCTCGAATTTGCATCAGCTTATAAGCATTACCATTGCTGCCTGATGAGAACAATCCCAATTGGGGGAATCACCAAGCTGGCCCGTCGGATGTTTGAAATCACCATCCTCCAGATGAAAGCTTGTATGGAGGCTCTCAAACCGGGGCGTGAAATCGGTGATGTATTCGAAGCCTATGCACGGGTTGCGGACGAAAACGGATTTCGGGACCAACGATTCAACTCCTGCGGGTATAGCTTGGGCGCTACTTTCTCCCCAACCTGGATGGATTTCCCAATGTTTGTCCGAGGCCAGAACGTTGTAGCCAGACCAGGGATGATCTTTTTCATCCATATCATTTTGATGGACAAAGCAACCGATACTGCCAGCTCCATTGGTCAAACTGTCGAGGTGACCGAGGATGGATGTGTTTCGCTGTCCAAGTTGCCATTCTGCCTTACTCGAAAGCAAACCATTGCTGCGTGGAAGAAGATCCGCAAGGAAGAGTACGGCTTCACGCCTGAAGAGGAGGACGAGGGTGAAAATATTCAGGAGGTTGACCTTTCTGACGGTGAGATTGATGCGGAGGACTATGATGTTGAGTATGATTTTAGCGATTATCAACCTGCTGCTGCTTCGGGAGATCCAACGCAGAGCGCGTAGAATTTTGTTGCAGGTCAGTCACTGCGGGGTTATCAAATATCTGAGTGTAGTAATAGCGAGCCCCTAGATTGATTCCCTAAGAATAACCCGAGCCATGATGCGGAAAATCCTTCACAGAATTGCTTAGGCAAACAAAAATTACAGCGCGCGCCGTCGGTAACATTGTCTCTCTATATACAGTCACCTTTTATAGCAAATTCTAATTCAGTTGTACTCGTTCATTTTCGAGGTGATCGCATAAACCCCCGTTTGAGCTGTAGACACGTAATCAGGAGGCAGGGTCTTCGTAATTTCCACCGCTGCTGCAATGGCAGCTTTCAGATTTTCGATGGCCTCATCGCTTATTTGATGGTGCATAGAAATCCGCTCATCCATCAACTTGACATTGAACTTCTGACACTGCTCCAGCAATACTCCCATGTCAATCTTCGATTTCCCCGCATCGATAAAGTAAAAATTGGTATCAACCGGAATCTGAGGCACGACACCCAGCGTCTCCAGATCCTTCGCCAATTTCTTAGTCTTCTCGTGCGTTTCCTTCATCGTGGGCCAGACTTCATTCAAGGCCACGAGCGCCGCAGCCGTCAAGATACCAGCCTGTCGAATCCCCCCGCCCTGCTGCTTCCGTAGCCATCTCGCATGTTTGATATTCGCCTTGGTGCTGGCCAGGACCCCACCGATGGGTGCCCCAAGCCCCTTAGAAACACACATGGAAACACTGTCAAAGTACTGGCAATAATCGGCCAGAGAGTGACCAGTCGCCACCGAGGCATTCCACAACCGAGCCCCGTCACAATGGACCTTGATCCCATTGGCGCGTGCGAACTCGGAAATCTTCCTAATCTCCTCCATCGGCGTAAGCACGCCGCCAATGGTAATTTCTAGACTGATGACTTTGGTGGGTGCGGTGTGCACGTCGTCACCCAATGTCACCCACCGTTTCACGTCGGAAAGGGTCATATAGATGCCGTTTGCCGGATGGACTGGCGTCACCATGGCCTGTGACAGGATTGCTAAGCCGGATCCCTCCTCAGCATAGACATGCGCTCGGTAATCGCAGAGAATGGAGTGCGGGGGTTTTTCCAGATGGACTCGAACCCCGATTTGATTGCCCATGGTGCCGGAGAGCGTGAACAGGGCAGCCTCCATTCCGGTTAATCTTGCGATTTCATTTTCGAACTCCGTCGTCGTACTGTCTTCTTGGTATACGTCGTCGCCGAATGTAGCATTCATCATAGCTTGCAGCATGGCTGGAGTTGGTGTACTGAATGTATCGCTGCGGAAGTCATTGGCGGCTCTGGATACCTTAGGATTCGACATTTTTTAACGGTCGTGGGTTTTAGTGTGGAGAGAAGTTGCGATATGTTTAAACAACAGAGGAACTATTTGGTGGTGGGGTATTCGGCTAATCAAATATGAACTGTTCATGAATTTAGGGGGGAGGGGAGGACGATTTTATATCCAAATCGCCAGTACGTGGTCACGTGCGCTGCTGCTTCTCGAGTATTATGACGCCAAAGCTAGCACTTCCGACCTTGTGCGCCCTATGGATTCTAGGGTTACAATCCGAGAAAGCAGGGGGGGATGGCCTTTTCCAAATCGCCAAGGTAAACCGGATGAAGCACAATCACGTAATGTGCGCGTTTCAGTGAAATTCCTATTTCAAAATGACCAAGATTCCGACTTGCTGCTAAATAGTATTCCTCTAGAAACCTAGATAAGTAATAGATAGAAAGCAGTCGCTTAAAATAGGTACATTAATTCATCATCTCGCCAAACAAAAACAGGAACTAGTAGAAAAATCAGCAAGGGATCATTCGCTTAAGGGAAGAAAGAAATACAAAACATATCAGTGGCGGTCTGGTTAACCAAAATGGCACAGTGGGTATGGATGCATCATCACCTCGTCAAAATATTAAGTTGTCGTCGAAATAAATAGATAAACGTTCATTAGCTGCAGGTTTATCGCCGACCCTTCACTCAGCCCTTTCCGCCTCCTCACGCCAGGTGTTCACCGTTGTCGCAACCATTTTGTGCAAGATACTCCGCACCATGTCCCCACTCCGTTCTCCTTTCTGACTAGCACCTTGGGTCATGTCGGTCAACTTCTCCAGCTCATCAATCAAGAGCAAAGCCTTGTCTCGCAGCTGCACGACTGTCTTGCGCGTATAGGCAAAACTTCCCGTGCTCTCCATGTAATTGACGGCGTATCGCTTGACTTCCTCATCAGTCGTCTTCTGTTTCAGAATATTGATAAGTTGAAGGTTATCGGGTTGGGAGCGGATGCTGTGGATTATGGGGAAGGAAAATTTGCCTTCCGTAAGGTCTTCGCAGGGTCCCTTGTTTTTGCTGTATGTTGAATTGGAGAGGTTGAGATAGTCGTCGCAGATTTGGAAGATGAGGCCCATGAGGTTCACGAGGGCGACGCAATCACTGGTCATTCGCCCATCGTTAACAACTTATATATTTTAAAAATTGTGGTAAGGTGATTGTGGCTTACATTCCACTGTCGCTTTCCGCCTGCATCAGTTTAATGGCAAGTCTGAAAAGTCCCCCTGTTTTATTGCCGACCATTTCCAAATAATCCTCCTCCGTTGGGCATGTGAGGGTGTCCCTCCAGAATACATCCATGCCCTGGCCCCGGTGCAAGTTTAACAGTTCCGTTGCGTAGATATTTATCACATTCGGGCTTTTAAGTTTCTGTACCTCTTCCAGAGCCAGAAAGTAGACGTAGTTGGCAGAATTTATCGTCTGAGCCGTCCCAAATATATTATGAGCCACTGGAACTCCTCTTCGAAGATTTGACGAATCTTCAACGTCATCAACGCTATGACAACGCGTATAATGTATAAGTAAGGGTTTCCCAAAGGGCTGCAAAGGGGCAACACGTTTTCCACTGAGCAGGGAGGGCACTTACAGTAATGAAGCAGTATGCAGCATGGCAACAACCTTGGTGATTATCGCAATACTGTCTTCAGGAACATGCAACCAACGGTTAAATGCAGTAATGAACTGTCTCCGTATATCCTTGCCGGGCTGCTGGACCATGTAATCATAAGGGCCTAGCAGTATCTTCTCTTTCTCTAGAGACCATGTTCCATCTTTGTATTTGGTACCATCGACGCTAGATCGGTTTCGAGTATGTCCTGATGAGTACTTGTGAGGATGGGATGTCCGCCTCTTTCCCAAGGGCGCAACCCACTCTGCCTCGGGGAGTGGTTTAAAACCTGCGCTCCGAGAACTCGAGCCGTTGGTATTACCGCTCATGGCGGATTCTAGGTTGCCATTTGTAACCCCCGTAGAGCTGGTACGGGGTGGGATTGGGTTGGGGGAAGCTAGAGATTCCATCATGGTTGCAGACGGACGTTGAAGATCCCCAAAACAAGGTAAAACAGAACAGATGTAACAACGAAGCACTGCGGCTAAGCTGTAGGACAATGCAAGGAGTCGTTTTCTGTAGAAGGTAGTATTGTGTTACGGGTATGGGGATGGGAGTTTCAAATTGTTGAATAGTACGACGCCCGGTCGGGCACCTCCCGCTCTTGTGGAAGGAGCATGCGACAAAAGGGCTGGAAATTTATATTTCTGGCCTGGGTATTTTTCGTGCAGTTGGCTTTTCATTCCAGCACCTCCGTTTTCCGTACCTCTGGTCGATATCGAGGGATAGAGAGAGATTGTTGGGTCGTTAAAGAAGCCAGGCGAGAGACCAATATGATATTTCAAATGTTGCGGTTCGGCAGGCGGGGCCCAGCTATCCTCGTTTGGGACTAGTTCATAATCACATGCGCCAAGAAAGGCCCTGACATCATCTTTTAGCCTTCATACTATACTTGCGTAGTCATGACGTTGTTATAAAAAACAAATTATTAAATACTGCCCAATATTGCGCTGTGATTAGACGTGGTGGTCTGTCTGTGATGCACTCGCCATATTCCTTGAGAGGGTCCAACCGATCTAGGCTAACTAAACTCCCGTTCACCCAGCAATATTCACAATCCACGGGAGGCAACTCAATGGTTCATCGCCCCTTTTAGCAAGAAAGTAGCTACCCGGATAGCTGTCTATCGTCAACCAAGAAGATTCCAAATCGATCCATCTATAGATAAACTCCTTTGCCCTCTACCTTTCCGGGATGAATGAGGCAGCTTCTAATCCTCTTGCTCAAAACGCTGGCGTGCTCCGCCGTAAGAGAGCGCGCATGGGATTCGTGCTGCCAACGCAGGGCTCTTGTTGGGAAACACATGTATATGGGCTTTATTGCTTTTTCTATGCAGCTTATTGCTTATTCCGTATTCTTCTATCCCTGCAGTGCTAGCATGATGCACTGTCTATGGGCTTTCGGTTTTGCGCCTGCAGGATATTAGCCCGCAAATGGGGGACGTAGTAAGATGAGTTGCTATTTTCAGATATATACACACACAGCAATAACTATGTTATTTTGTTCTGATTCGTTCTGAAGGGGAACTGTTGAGTATGGAGGAGGACATGTTTGGCCTGCATACTCAACCAGATAGATGAAGTGCGCCGGTTGAGCTACACTTCTTTACCTCCAATATAGGGAGCATATCTCTTTAAAACGCAGTTTATTCTCTTTCAACCTTCCTACTTCCTGCTATGAGGAATGTTGAAGTTGCAAGAGTCTCTAGTGATGTGGCATTCACTCAGAAACACCCTCTTGAAGTTGGGGACATTCCTCGTGCGAAAACAACCATCCGCTACACGACGACCATACTACCGCCAAATATATTACCAACCACAAGCAGAAACCCTACCCAGGTAACCAGAAGGGGGAAAAAATAATTCCAGTAGCAAAAATAAATAAAAGAAAAAAAAATAAGAAAAAAAGAAACAAAGAAACAAAAAGGTTCACACCGCTCGCCAGCCGTTGCCGAGCTGGGGCGGTGCTACGTCCTTCTTTCCTACTCTGCCCCTCGCGAATCGCGGGGCTGGATCCAAGCAGGAGTCGAACAGCCGGTCAACCCAAGGTGGTAGTGGTCCTGCAGGCGGCGCCTCTCCCGCTAGACCACGGGGACCTGGCTGTTCGTACCAGCGCAGACATTAATCGGGGTTTTGAGGTCCTTTCTTTTTGGCTTTTGGTGATGGCCAGAGAGTGAATAAGGTGGCGGAGGCGGAGCGGAGTGGAACAACTCAAAACGGATAGCGGACGGATAACACCAGACGAGACGAGACGAGACTGGCTGACTAAACCTTAGGACACTGGGAGCGCGGAGAGTTCAGTGTCTGCGGGCTACATATACTGCTACAAAGGAGATACGGGGAAAATTCATCCTCCAGTATAACAGTATATATATATATATATATATATACCAAGGGTGTTGTTGGGCTGGACAGAGCTTCCTCCAACGGCCAGGACATGACTTCTTCATGTGTGTGGTGTATATGATCCAGGTCATGATCATGAAACCAAGCCACCAGTAGATGCTGCAGTGCAGTGATTTGTTTTAGCTCTTCATAACCTCTTTTTCATTCTGACAGAGGAAAGGAAAGCATGAGGACATGCCTGATATTGAACTCATCAATCCGTAAGGGAAGGAAACGCCCGCCCGCCACTTATAGTGGCATACATCATCCATCCGCCCTTGCCGGCGAACGAGACAAGAGAAAAGAAAAGAAAAAAACCATAAGAAATTTATAGGAGGAAGAAACGATGGTATTTAAACCTCTTATTGTTATTTCGCTGGGTAACAGTGGTATCTTTGCTCGCAAAGGATTTGCATAACAACATAAAACAAGCGATGGGACAGAGAGGAGACGAAAACAAGAACTGCAGCTGCATGGGCGAGAAGGGGCAGATAGATAGATATACCTATACCAGACAGAACCGGGTTTAGGCCGCATTGGCATAAACGAGGTTGCTTGTATGTATGTCATGTCCACCCCCTCCCGTTCCCTTGCATCCAATTACCCTTCCTCCATTTGCAAACGAAGTACGGTCAAAAGAGGAGAATAAAAAATATATATCCAGGGTTAACCAAAAGAAAGACTAAACCCTCCTCCCGCGCTCCTCCTATGTATATAGTGACCAGAGGCACCGTTTATACTGCTAGCAGTTAAATAGGCGTCCTCGGTAATCGTCTCCCACCACATCTTCCAAACCACGAATTATATATACATACATACATGTAGGTATATATACGTCCTGCTAAACCACCCACCTCATCCCATACACCGACAATCACAAAACCAAAATCACTACGCAATCTCCGCATTCGCAGCCCCAGTCTCACGCGCAGCAGCCCTCTTCCTATTCTCCGCATCTGACGCAAAGTCCAAGTGATACAGCTCGGGGCACACCGCATTCTTGCGGAAAAGGATATACCTGCGGATCCACCATGGTAGCACGGTAAAGAGTTGGTATTTCGCGTGCGTACGCGTCGGGACGGCGAAGACGTAATCGAGCTCTTCCAGCGTCCGCTGCTTGGTCTCGGGCATAAACAGGAAGATCAGGATCAGGGCTACGATGTTCATGCCGGCATAGAAACCGAAGGCGCCTTGTGGCTTGAATGCGCGCAGCAGGCGGCGGAATGTAAGGGCGAGGACGGCAGCTGTTGTTCATGGTTTCTCACTGTTAGCCTTTATGAGTTCAATGGGGCTTTGCTTGTTTGGCTCTGATTTCTTACCCCAAAAGTTGTTCGTGGCAACAGCCCAGCTCATTCCCATCTCACGATGGGAGAGAGGGAATACTTCTGCAGAGTATGTGAAAGGTACGGGACCTTCTCCCGGCGAATAAAAGGCACAGAAGAGGTAAATGAAGAAAGCGATGAGGCCTATATGAGCATTATTTTCCTCGGGGATGTAGAAACACATTCCAGCTGCTAATAGGGTCCAGAACATCTGTGGGAAGGTGAAGAGTAGCAAGCCACGCCGTCCAAAGGTGTCGATGGTCCAAACCGCCGGCCAAGCAAAGGTGAAGTTGACGACGCCAAATCCGAATGAGGCCAGAAGCGCGGAGATGTTACTGGCACCGGCTTGGATAAATATCGTCGTCGAATAGAAGGAGATGATGTTGACTATGGTTGAGTAGTTCAAGGATTAGCGCTTGCAAGGAAACGGCGTAATGTAGACAGGGAACCAGGACAAAGGTTGGCTACGAAAATGGGGATGGGAAAATTGGGGGTTCCCATATTATTTGCACTTCACTGCCAATGTAACTTACTTCCGCACATCTGCTGGGCAATCATCACAATTCCTGGAGCAGACAAGCCAAGTTAGCAAAACGTAGCTACAAGCGCCACAACATATGAAACAGCACAGGATGAAGGTCAACAGTGGTTGTGTACCAGAAGCTTGTGTCGCACGGCGAATACGCGGGATGGTAAATAGTTCAATGAATCGAGTAACGAAATTGTCCGTTTTCGCAAGACCAGTTTCTTCAAGCATAACCGCTTCTTGGACAAGCTGGGCATGGATATAGTAAAGGTCTCTCGACGCCTGAAGTGGTGTGTTACGAAGACGAAGTAAAGACTGATACGCTTTCTTATAGTTCTTCTTTTTCAGAAGCCATCGCGGGGACTCCGGGCAGAAATAGATACCCATGACCAGCGGGACAGCTGGGATGAATGCCGATCCCAATTGCAAGCGCCAGGTAATATCGCCAGCGTTGACAACCGCAAGGTTGGCGCTGGTTCCCATTAAAATACCAAAGGCTGTCCAGACTTGCCAGGACATGACCAAGCCACCACGCACATTCGCCGGGGTATTCTCTGCGGAAAACACAGGGACGGTAACTTCTTTCAGGCCCATTCCAATCCCTAAGAGGACACGGCAAGCAGCGAGTTCGCCCCATTTTTGCGTCACAGCAGATCCAAGGGGGGCCAGTAAACTGAAGATAGCTGCGATGAAGATGGTTCCTCGACGACCCATCAGGTCATTGATAGGGTCGCTTAACCAGCCAGCACTAGCGAAATTGACAAAACATGAAACGATAGAATTAGCCACTCTCAAACAAGCCTTCAGTGGGGGAATAGGGTAGAGTTGGCTTCTTACAAGATAGCAATGGAAATATACGGCACTGAATTGACAAATCCAACGATCCACGAGTTCCTGTCGCAAACTGCGGCATTTGCTGCGCTAAGCTCGCACCACTCGCCGCTATCTTGGATTCCAAACTCTAGAGGGAAGGAAACATTTGCGCCATTGGATCCTATCAAAACAGCTCTGTTAGAGGGAAGGAAATCACACTGCTGAGAAATATTAACGCAAGTTACATACCTGTTTGATCCCATCCTTGAATGGCCGCAGAGATAGAATTGAGAATGATGGTATAATAAAGTGGCCAAGGTAGCCTCCATCGGTGGAGGACTTCGTTCCTCAAAGGTTCCTTGTCTGCC